CCAAAAAATCTTTAATTTAAAGCGTATTTGCTCAAAGCGAATACCATTGGGTTAATTGACTTTTGGTGTATTTTTGCAAGATAATATGGGGTGAGAAGAAGAAGAAGAAGAAGAAGAAGAAGAAACATAAAAAACAGAGGGCATGGCGACTGGGATCCGTGAGCCACAGGTCCGGCAACGGCGATCGTCGATGAGCCTCGCGCAAGCATTAACTACGTGATCAGGCGAGCCTCGCATGATCGCCGGCGAGCTTCCCAAAATTAGCAAAGGTAAAGTTGAAAGGAAAAAAATCCATCAACCCTTAAATAACATTCTGAAAACTGCTGAAATGCAAATACCGAGTGGAAGTTGCATGGGGCTAAAAGAATTTTAAAAATGCTAATTTTAACTTGAAAGCCTTTGGGCATGATGAACCAAACCTTTTTAAGTTTGGCGCCAAGGCCTTTGGAGGCACAAAGGCCTTTAGGAAATGCTGAACCAGAGGTACCCGTACTCGTACACTGCGCTTTAGAAAGGGCTATTTTATGAAATTTCATGAACGAATTTGACAGATAAAAACTCTAGCTATGTTTGATCCTTTTTTCTCCTTTTCTTTTGGACCCTATCACCAAAGCCGGTATCTCGTGCCAGCGCGGCGCACCGTCACGGCCAATACGCCACCGCCGAGTTGTCTATACATATTAAGTGTTTGTCTCCTTTTTTTGAAGGGCTTAACAAGACTCAAGATGCATGAAATCGAACGTTGCCACTAAACAAATATGGTGAAATCCGTCTTTTTGCTAATTGTTGGGAGGGAGAGAGGTGCGTTCAGTAATGCAAAGAGATGATGGCCAAAAAGAGAAACGTGGGAAATGTGACGACCGCACTATAAATATGATAATGTCGTATTGGAAAGAGATGGACTTGACACGTATGCGGTTCTTCCATCTTTTGACAATGCGCCATGATTTCCTTGCGCAGGGTGCCGAGGACACGGAAGATGCCGAGAAACTACGATAAGCGACGACCCAGCAACGATTGGACCATACGTGCGAAAGCTACCCCCTGCGTTCAACGTCAATGCCTCGGACGAGCAATGTGCTTGTTGGTAAAGGGCACTAATCGGGAGTTGCACGCGTTTTGCCATAATGGTAAACCAGCAGCTAGCATGAACCATGTGATTAGCAAAGTGCTCTCCGTCTCTCCTCGTCCATCTCGAGTCGTTGTAACGCAAAATCAAGACCGTACACGGTCAATCGCACCTCTCGGGTCGGGTGAACCCCACGCGAGGTTCGCTCGATCGAGTAAGGGATCACGCGAACCGGTGCGTGTTGTGAAAGTTCTCTCTCCCCCCCCCCCCTTCCCTTGGAGGCTCGGCTATAGGGCTGAACTTGGACTGAGCACATGATGAAGTTTGGCAGGAGCGAGGGAATGGGCCGGCTCGCCATTTCGAAGTTTCGAGCCTGCTCCAAAGCCCAAAACACGAAACAAGCCACCATCGACCCAAAATAGAAGAAAAGGGGTTTGTTCTTGGAAGTTCGATTTTATTTTTCACTAAAGCAAAGATTCATTTCTATGTTCTATCTTGACGTTGGGTCGAATGGTTTCGGACAGCTTATCTCAAACCCCTAGACACGGACTGAATTCTAACCAAACACGTAGCAATTACTGTGTCAATGGGGATTGAGATGACCCCACGAGTAAGCCGGCCAGATAGCAACAATCTTGAATTTTCCAACTCCCAAGTGGAAATCAAGGTGCCTCGCCATAAATGGAGAGAGAAAAAGAAGTGGAGATCAACGTGGAAGTTCATGCAACACAAATTCGGTGGGAGTGGCCTTCATTCCCGGTTGCATCGGTTTTAGGGCTTAAAATGAAGCAAGTTGAAACTGAACATTTCCTGAGAGCTTGTTCTTAATTTCAAATGGCAAGGGTTTGGCCAATGCAACCAAAAAAAAATAAAAGCCAAAAAGAGAGAAAAACAACTTGGAAAATGATGGACAGATTATTAATAAAGTCAAAATCAAGCTCTACAGCACGGTAAATGAAGTTCACACGATTCACTATTGTCCAAAACCCCTCGATCTCCGAATGCCAAAAGAAAAAGAGGAAGGAAAGAAATTGGAAAAAACAAAGAAATTAATCGAGTCCAGTCATTCTTCAACTGAAGAGCTATGCATTAAACTGAGTGCAAAGCACGCGTCGTCCTGTTCGGCTTGAGCAAATTTTCCGGGCTCTCTATTTTAGTTTTCATCGAGAAGAGAAGACGTTTATGTAAAAGCGTTTGGCAGCATTTTCAAAATAACCATTTTTTAAAAGAAAACGGGGAAGTTATTTTCAAGAGTAGAATTTCGTGAGCTGAAAATGATTCCTTGGTGTCTTCGTTCCTACATGAAAATCAGAAAAAGAAAAGCTTCCCTTGAGGGGGTGATCGAAATCCGGCGAATCAGAAGGGCTAGTTCCCAACTTGTGCTACCGAGAACTGGTCCACCTGATCCAAAACTCACCCTGGAACCGGACCGACCTTGATTTGAAATTATTAACTCTAGCCAGCTCCCCACCGGACAACCAACTCATGGGGAGAAGGCCCATGACAAAAAGAAAGCCGCAAAGTCTGACCGCTCTCTCCTCCATTCTTTTGGTGGGCCGATGCCACCCTGGAATTAGAAACCGAATCAGAAAGGCCGATTCCTAATTTGTGCTATCGAAAACCGGTTTGCATGGTCCTGAATCCGGAACCGGACTAGTCTTGATTCGAAATTATTAGCTCTAGCCAGCCCCCCAACGGCCAACCAACTCATGGGGAAGAAGGCCCATGACAAAAAGAAAGCCGCAAAGTCTGACCATTCTCTCTTCCATTCTTTTGGTGGGCCAATGCCCACCTTGAAAATTGGAAACCGGATCAGAAGGGCCGGTTCCCAATTTGTGCTACTGAAAACCGGTCCGTCTGATCCTAAACCCACAAGGACTAACCTTAATTCGAAATTATTAGCTCTAGCCAGCCCCCCAATGGCCAACCAACTCATGGGGAAGAAGGCCATGACAAAAAGAAAGCCGCAAATTCTGACCACTCTCTCTTCCATTCTTTTGGTGGGCCGATGTGATGTGGACATCGAACCCTATCGAGGAGGAGGTGTTAGGGACCGTTGTTCATCCGTTAGGCCCGATCACTCGAGCAAGACGAAGGAATTCAAACAATTTATCGGCATCATGGTTCAAGATATTTGGAATGGAGACAATCTGGATTCGAAACTCAAGACTCGCCTCGCAACATGATTACTTCTTGGTCAGTGAATTCAGAAGGAGCTTAAATTGACAAACTCCGAATTGGATCAAATTTGGATGGACGCTTGAAACGGGCGTGATCAATACTCACTACTTTAGTAGTGATTGATGATGTTTTTTAGCAATTTGGAGTCGTTTAGATGAACTTTTAGGCCTTTTTCCATTTTTGGACGAATTTTTAGTAATTAAGGTTATTTTTGTAATTTTAATCCTAGTAGGATTAGGATTAAGGTTAGCACCTTATATAAGGTTGCTTATAGATTTCTAAGAGGAGCGAAATTTTATATAGAGAAGTTTTCTTTGAGTTCTTGAGGATAGATCTTATCGGTTCCGTGGCGTGATCGATCAACTTATCGAAGCAAGATCACTCTTGTTGTGCGTTATACGTGGATTCGTCGATAGCAGCCCCCCAATGGCCAACCAACTCATGGGGAAGAAGGCCATGACAAAAAGAAAACCGCAAATTCTAACCACTCTCTCTTCCATTCTTTTGGTGGGCCGATGCCCACCCTAAAAATTGGAAATCGGATCAGAAGGGCCGGTTCCCAATTTGTGCTACCGAGAATCGGTTCGTCTGATCCTGAACCACCAGGACTAATCTTGATTCGAAATTATTAGATCTAGCCGGCCCCCCAACAGACAACCAACTCACGGAGAAGAAGGTCCATCACAAAAAGAAAGCCGCAAAGTCTGACAACACTCTCCTCCATTCTTTTGATGGGCCCCACCTTTATACCAAGCCCCCTGTGGGCATGCTATAGTCACCGCCCACCATCCATTTCAGTGGGCGACATACAGCTGTGAATGTTTTCTCAGCACTTCAAGTTGTTCCCTCTTCACTGGCTCTTAGAGCATCCATTCTTATCACTATCTCCACAATGGACCGGCCGGTTCAATCGCGCAATCAAGAGCATTAGCACATAAATTTTTTTCCATAGGTGTCGTGAATCGACGCGTACATAGAAAAGAATCGATCCATTTCGATGGTGCGGCCGACACGATCTGACCATTGCTATGGCCGTGAGAACGCCGACTTCCGAAGGAATACCCTAGATCAGAAAGAATCGGTACATCATTTTTACTTTCAATAGATGTTGGTGAAGCGTGAACCGATGAATCGATGAATCGTTGGTTTTACCTTGCATTATGAAGTCGGGATACAGCCGTCGAGAGCTTATAGATGGACACGAGTAGGGAAATATTTTTAACGGAACGACATGGAATTAGCATTTTAATAAAATGTAAAAAACGTGCGGATGTATTGAATGAGATAATGTTAGGAAATGAAAAATAATTAAGGGAACAGCCGATTTCATCTAGACCAAAACGTCAAAGCCTAGACATTTAGAGGTTCAAAAGAAGTCCCCGAACAAATGAATTGAGGAAGTATTTATAAGAGAGGATTGAGATGGCTGGCGGACGGGAATGTCGCATGGCAATCTTAACGAAGAGAATCAGCGGTGGATAGGTTGTCGCTTTGTCGGGGAATACGGGCCAATTACGGTTCGCCACGTGTCACGCGCCATCCATTGCGTAAAGAGAAACTGAAGGCCAAGGAGTCTTGTTAACCGACATTTTAATTAAATTCTTATTTTCGAGGTTATTTTTCTCAACATGTCAAGCTAAAAAAATGTAATTAGAAATTACAAGAAAGGGGGCAAAAAGGGAAATGCGTTGCAGCGCGACAGCAAAGACCGTGTCGAAGCCGACGAGCGCGAGTATAAAGGCCCCACCCAACTCCAGGAAAAATCCTGGGCTACTGTGGGGGCGAAGAGCCGTGTCTCCACTGTCGGGTCGTAGCTTGCCGTGCCTTCTCCCCTCTTCCGGTTCTCTCGCATCGACGGGCGTCGATCCGTGTCGTGATCTCGTCCTCTGGGTCTCGATCATATTTCCGCGGCTGCGATCGAAGCGGGAAGGGGAGCGGCGGAAATGGGCGGCGGCAACGGCCAGAAAGCCAAGATGGCTCGCGAGAGGAACCTGGAGAAGCAGAAGGGCGTTCGAGGTCCTCTCTCTCTTCTCTCTCTCTCTCTCTGTCCTCTGGAAATTTGTTTTAGAGATTATAGATCTCGGGTTGGGCTTTAAAGTTTCTCTTTTTTTTGAGCTCATATAATTGGAAACAATTCGAGAAGATGACATTCCAGCTTACCGGCTGCGAGGTTGAAGCTTTTGCTTGTTGGGTCGATCTGTAGCTCCTTCTTGAAGATGGGGAGCTCAAAAAGTTGCAATTTTGATGTCGTGTTTCGTTGCTTCATCAATGAACTCTGCTCTATTTTTTTCTTGATTTAGTCGGACGCTGCTATTGTAATGTTGTTTGGAAGGAAATAGCCCCAGAATGCCTGTAATTCAAAGTTTCCCTTTTTCTGGCCCCTCATTGTGTTATCTCTGCTGTGTGTATGTATTTGCAGGGAGTCAGCTTGATTCAAACAAGAAAGCCATGAATATCCAGGTACCACTGTTTGTTTATCCTACTTATTAAGTTGATTTTGAGTTTGCAAGGGTTACGTGCTTCTTTTGGCCAGTGCAAGAGCATGGATTTGATGTAGCCATTGCTGCTTTTTATGCATTTGAGTTTGTATGAGAACTCCTCTGCTCTTAAGTTAATTTTTTAATTCCCGGTTGCTTGACTGAGGCGAGCGAGTAGGATGTGTGTATAGCTTAACTCGATGGGAATGGTTTTTAGTTCTGATGCACTGTCTTCTTTTCAAGATTGGGGTGGTTGTGTGTAGTAACTGAGAATTCTTTTGCTCTTGTTGGATATCGGATCGGGTCCGCCAAAAACCCGACTCATGACTTCTGAAGTCCCCTATGGAGGGAACGACTAATTGGGATAAGAAAGGTGAACATACAAATAGAAGTATGAAAAAGCCAAGTTTGGAAAATTACGTTTTTTTTAACCGGAACAACAGATTATTTATTGGAATTTCACGTTATGCAAATCAGTGATTATGCTCTTAAACGGAATATGAGGAGATCTTGTAAGATCCTTGAGACTAGTGGGAGTATTGTTATTGGGTGATTGAGTTTCACCAAATACTAATTTGTATGTGAGCAATTCAATAGTTTTAGGATTAAAATTGTGGTTTGTAAGACTGTTGTGAAGTTCTCTAGTCTTGATAAGTGGGAGCAAGGGAAAAAGTGATAGAAAAAGGGATGGAGTAAAAGGAAGTTAACAACGTCAGGGTATTAGTTGATATTTCGTGAGAACCTTAAGCAAATTTCATTGAATTGAATCAAGCTATTGATGTTAGCTTAAGAGCATACAAGGGTGTATACTAAAGATGCGCACAGTAAACAATCAACATGCACTCTAATACCAATGTCAGAGTTAGCAGAAGTGTACCTTTTCTGGCGTCCTGCAGTCGAGACTATTTAGGCAATGCACTTGTTACTGTGGAGGTTGACAATTCAAAACTTGCTACTCTTTTGTGGGTAGTTAGCAGAATTTTTTCACCAAGGAATACCAATTAGCAGAATTTGCCCTCTAACTTGCTGCAGTTGTAGTTTCTTGTTCTGTTCTGTTAGGTGGTGTAAGGGGTCACTGTGTCATGAATCGTTTTCGAGCACCTATACATCCACTGTCGGTTTTTTGTTGCTCTGGTGGTGGATCATGCTTTTCTTTTGTGTAGAATGGCATATTTTAAATCAGATCGGTGGTTTGTTTTATTGAGAGGTTGTTTGGTACAACTTTTCTGTAACAGTTTCAGCTGTAAAAAGGATGCTGTAGCTTTTGAGGTGTTTGCAGCTTTTAAAGGTGTTTGGCAAACACCTCAAAAGCTGTAGCAGCTTACAACAGTTTTCAAGAAGCTGCCTCACCCAGCTTTGAAGTGCTGCAGCTTTAAAACACGCATCATCAAACATGTAGCTTACAACTTTTCACAGCACGGGAGAGAGAGAGAATCTGCAATGTGGTATCACTTATATGAAATGTGATGCTAATTTGGATATTTGCACGTGAAAAGAATGTATTGGTTATGCATATTTTCAAGTGTTTTCCACATCTAAAGTTAATCTCTCTGATTTTTATACACATGTATTCCATTTTGGTTGATGCATCTATAGATTGTGACCCACGACCACCAGTAATATGTCGGTGAAGAACATTATGATGGCTTGACCTGTATATTTTTGTCACACTTGGCGTCAGGGCTTTGCGAAGCCCTCTAGTAGTGAACATATTAATCGTACATGGTAGTCTGTGTTCTTTAAGATCGTCTTTCTGTTCTGTTCCGTCCTGTGATTTACTCTTTCATTTGGTGTCACACTTCATGTAGATGCCTTTTTTCCCAATAGTTATTTGACGGCCAGTTTTTCCGCCCCAAATCATACCGTTATCTTCATTTTCTTCGTTTATGGTTAATCACGTGTATTGTGAGTTGTTTGGCTCGGTAATCCACCGTGATCATGATTTAGCCATGAAAATACAAAGCTCAAGGTCCTTCCTCTCGCTTTTAACGCATATGTTTTTGTCATCGCAGTGCAAGGTTTGCATGCAGACTTTCATTTGCACCACAACAGAGGTCAAGTGCAGAGAACACGCAGAAGCAAAACATCCCAAGTCGGATTTGTATGCATGTTTTCCTCATCTGAAGAAATGACATCAATCGATGACAGCGGACAATGATTCTATGAACTTGTCATGTTCTTGTTGTGATTGTGGTCAAGTTTGGAGCTTTTGTGTAGCAGTCTATGCACTCTTGGGGTATTCATCGACTCGGACATATTATAAAACATTTGCTAATAAAAATTCCGCTGCCTTTGTGACAGTTAGTTTGTCTAACTTCATGTTTGTATTACAAGTTGCCACAAAGCCTTAATGACCTGCGTGGCAAACGAGGCTTAATACCTTGTTCGCTACGCAAGGCTTAATACCTGCTGGGGTTGCATAGGTATCTTCCTTCCATTCCTTTGACTCCCTAATATGAAGCTCATCGCTTCGTCTCTGGCAGAATTTTGAAATCAAGTTAGGGGCTCGTTTGGCAAGTTGCCAAACAGTGAAGATTTTTGTTCTTTTGTTTCCAGAATCAGTTTGGGAACAGAAATTCATTTGTTAAATTTTTTGTTCCCGGGCACAAATTTGCAAAATATTGTTCCTAGAATCAATTTTGGAACAAAATCAAGAAGCAAAAAAAAAGTAGCTTCTTGATTCTGGGAACAATTTTTCCATTTATGATTCTTCTTGGTTTTCTTCTTTGTTCTTGGTTTGTTCTTCTTCTTCTTCCTGGCTTGCCGCCAGCCACCGGCAACCAGTCACAAGCCAGGGCCGGCGAGGGCAACTTTGCCCGCATACCAGCGAGCTCTTGAGCGGCTGCGGCCTCGCCCGGCCATGGCGAGGCGACCTCGCCGTCGCGACCCGGATGAGGAAGATGTGTCGAAACGACAAGCTCGGCCTCGCCTTGGCTGGGCGAGGCTCGACCTCACCTAGATCTGGCGAGGGCGGCAGCGAGGGCCGCGATGCCCTTGCCGGCCATGGCCAAGGAAGGGAAGGGAAAGAAAGAAAAAAAAAAGGAAAGAAATATTAAGAAATTCAAAATATTATTAATGAAAAGAAATTTTGTGGAGTTGCTAAGCACATTTCTATTCTTTTTTTATTCCAAAAATAGAAATTTTGGACAGTTATGGCGCGTTTGGTAACGTTTCTGTTTTTCTGTTCCCTGGAATAGAAAAAGAATAAAAATCTGTTTGTGTACGTCAGTTAATTTTTCTATTCCTGGGAATAGAAAAGTGGTCAGGAAATAGATTTGGAACAGAAATAAGAAATAAAAAAAATCTACTTTTCTGTTTCCAGGAACAAAAAGAGAAACAATGTCAGTTTAGAGAAACAATTTCATATATCATTAAATCCCAAAACCCGAAACCTTAAAACTCTAAAACCCCAAAACCCGAAACCCAAAACCCCAAAACCCAAACCTTAAAACCCTAAATCTCAAACCCAAAAAGCGAAACCTAAATCCTAAAACCCTAAAACCCAAACCCAAACCCAAACCCAAAATCCAAAACCAGAAACCCTAAAACCTAATACTCGAAACCCCAAAATCCAAACCCAAAAACTCAAACCCGAAACCCCAAAACCCCAAAACCCAAACCTCAAACCCTAAACCCAAAACCTCAAATCCTAAACCCTACGTCCCAAACCCCAAAACCCAAAATCCTAAAACTCTAAACCCCAAACCCTAAAACCCGAAATCCTAAAACCCTAAACCTAAAACTCGAAACCGAAAAACCCAAAACCCTACCCCAAAACCCCAAACCCCAAACCCTAAACACAAAACCCTAAAAACCTAAACCATAAATTCTAAACCCTAAACCCCAATTTCCTCGGTCACCACCCGGTATTTGCTTTGTCATTCTTTATGATTGTATTAAGGTAATCCAATTCTATATCATAATATATTTTGATTCTATTTCTAGTCTAGTTTTATCCAAATATGAATTATTAAGTCTTCACTAACATTTTTATAATTAAATGAAACAAATTGAGAATAGAAATTTTGAGGATTGTACCAAACGCATTTCTGTTCCTTTTCTATTCTAGAAATAGAAATTTTGTGCAGTTACCAAACGCTCTCTTTTGCTCAGAAACTCGTCTATGAAATAGAAATAGAAAAAACTATTTCTGAACAGAAATTGTTTCTGGGAATAGAAACGTTACTAAACGCGCCCTTACCAAATGCCTTCAAATTTAAATGCTTAGAAATTATTCCCGAGCACGGAATAAAAAAGAATCATTTCTGAGCAGAATTAATTCTCGGACACAGAATCGTTACCATGCGCACCCTAAGTTATCAGCCTCCCAAGTAATATACCAATTTCGTCTTTCGAAGCGCAAGAAGAGAATTCATGAGGAGATTTATACGTCTGCTGTAGTATAGGGAAGAAGAAGCATCCATCTCCTATATCTGGAATAGGATACGATAGAAGATAGACCGGCAGGTTTCTGTTTAATCACGAGTGCTGCGGATGGTGAGTTCATACCAATAAACACGAAAAGGATTCTGTTCCCTCCGATGTCCACATCCACTTCAATAACCACGTCGTCTCGCGTTTTCAATCTTAATTGTGACGCTTGGAAACGAAAAAAGATGGAAAAGAGTCCTGTACAAACCCATGCCACCCCGGGACAAGCCTGGATAATGGAGTCTCATGGCAAACAATCAGTTTGGACTACATATCGGCGCCAAGTCAATGGCAAAACCAAGAGAAGAATCGTCCAAGCAGTGTTTTATATAGCACACAAATCAGGAAATCCAAAAATCAGCATTCGCCGTACATTTAATCTTGTCCGAACTGAATAACCACGGTTGTAAAATTCAAGGCACATTCTGCGGCCCCAGTTTAAGAACTGGAAACAATAAAATCAATTTATGGGGCAAAATTTGAAGCTATTCCTGGTCATAAAGATTCGAGTAAGACCGAAGGAAGCAGCCTGAACTAATACAGAGTACCACAGTTGACGACTCCCGGAGCGGTTTATTGTGTCCTCAGCCTGCTGTTCTCTGCCGATCGTACTTGGGAGAAGTATGGATGAGCCTGAAAAGGATGAATATGTTGACATGAGCCACTCTTCCAAACAATAAGAATGTACAGGGCTTCATGACTGACATTGCAAAGTGAAAGCCAACATTGGAAATTGCGAAATATAAAGAGCATTGGAAGTTAAACTGCTCACGCCTTGTTCATTCAAACCGTTTCTTGGCAAAGTTGCAAATGAGACGAAAAGGATATATTTCGAGACAAGACAATTTGAGCTAGCATATAACCCACATCCAATGATTTGAGAGCATAAGAAATTGGCAATGAGATAAAGAGGGGAAACTAATCTTATCCTCCAGTTTTATTTTTCTTTGTTTCACTATCTCGTGTCCTTGAAACGGAAGGAATTGAAAAGATCGAGTAGTGACACATATAGACTTGAGAACCTTATTCGCGGAAACACAGCAACACACTGGGGGACAGCCTGTATACATTTCTAAAATATTGACATAACCATTCTCTCTGAGTTTACCGTAGAGAATAAAGAATAATTTCGACAGAGGAAGCCATAGTCGACTATAGAGTTAGAGGATGACACAGTACGTTTAGCACAGCATTAAAAGGGATTCATGATATACTACTCTGTATGATCCAAATAATGAAGTCTTCACATAATTATCGTAAAGCAATAAAAGATACACAAAAGGCTTACTATTAGGTCCATGGTCCAAGAGGGACCGAATTTGCGGATGGCAATATATTAGGAATAGAAGAAATGATGAGTGATAGCACAAGGGGCAGTTTCGCCCAAAAACATACCATTGCTTCTCTTGCCGTAACCCTATCCTGATGGTCGTATCGGAGGAGCTTGTCAAGAAAATCAATAGCCTGAACATATTATGTGATCAAGAATGAACAATTATTAGAGGCATAGAAAAAGAAATACCAAGGAAGCTAATCAGAAATCCTTTTGGAGGTTTTCAAAAAAAACAACGTAAGGACAGAATTTAACCTCTGGAGAAACAAGATGCTGATTATCAGCATTAATGAATCTGGACCACGGTTTCCGGCTGTGCCTGCAATCACCAATTTATTGGGGTAAGATGCCACAAATAGAATCAACTTCTTAAGCATACTGTCCTGCCGGAACTGGAAAGCACATTGCCACTAACAGCTTCTTGAATGCACTGAAGTTTCAGTTCAGACTTTGGTTTTTAGAGAGCCTAATTCGATACATGCAAATTATCAGAGGATATAACTGTATCACTGACATCCTTCCCAACAACATAACCGACCCTCTTCAGAGGTTGCAGCCTCCAGTATATTCAGGAAGCATCATTGTCCAAAAACTGAGTTAAGCTCTGAGTTTTTTATTGCCCTATGCTCAGAGAAGGAGGATCTAGTTAGAGACTTGTTTGCAAGTGGAAATCCCTCCGAACAACTTGCTCCAACTCTACACACCAAAAGGCCATAGCTGACTATAAACTAAATATATGCGAGATAGAATGATTAGCTAGCATCTTAAGGAGTAAAAGAACAGAATATGGAGAACCTTCCGACAAGAGCTTCTAGCTGTGGATCAAGCTCCAAGTGGTATTTGTTCAGATATGCATTTAATTCATCTGTCCCAAGAACCTGCGGTGCAGTGCATATGCGACACAAACAGTTAGAAGGAAATCTCGAATACTAGTTTGGAAAGGGAAAGACACTGCCACTCTGAGATTATAGATGGTATGCTCATCACTCAAATCACAGTCCACTGCATTACATTGATATCTAACGTAGGCTGAGGCTCTAAGTATGTCATTTTATTAGCTTTTAATTGGTCAAACAAATTTTTAGTTTATATAGATATAATATCTTAATCAAACTGTGCTTGTACTCTTTAATTCAGATGGAATTGCACTTTAGCATTCAGCCATCTCAAAGGCAAAAGCAAGCATTTCCAGATGATAAGCAAATTCCGTTTTGCCCATTAAAAAGGGGTCAAAATTTGAGTCTTTGAAGATCGGCCGACTAGTGGTTTTAATATCCTCAATGATGTAATTCGGGGATATAATCATTAAGGCCACATATCCTACCAGTCTAACCCAAAGAAACAAAGAAAAGTTGAACTCATCAGGGTCATGCCTGGAAGCATGACCACAAAATCACGACAGAAGTTAGGACAACAAAGATTACCGCTTTTAACAATATAGCAACATGCTTATTTTCCTTATTCAGAAAGCTTCTCAGTAGCCAACTCCCAAACTTAACTCACCCACCAAACACATTCCAATTTCAATAATATTGGCCACATAGATTCCACATTACCTTGGCAATTTTGACAAGCTGGTCATGGTTGTCATGGCCGTAAAAGAACGGCTCCTTCCGAAATATCTGCAAGGATGTTTGAACACGTCAAAATTCGTTAAAAGAAATACTTCAAATGCTATTAAATTTTTCAGTACTATCGTACCATTCCTGCGAACATACACCCAAGGCTCCACATGTCCAAGGAATAATCATAGTCTTGGAGGTCAACAAGCAACTCCGGACCCTTAAAATATCTGAAAGACCATATCACTTAATTTTGTGCAAAGAGAACCATAGTAAAGGAATTCTCATACGACAATGCATTAATATTATACAACTGTAAGTCCAAAAATATATCAAGTAGAGCCTCTGAACAAACAGTATGAGGTTCATCCGAGACACCAAAAGGGGCATATTCATATACTCTAAATTACCACCGCATATCTGACATAGTTGAACAGAATCCAGTTTCAATAGTTAATATATTTCAGAAAAATCTTGGTACACTAACTGGATTATCGAAAACACAAAAAACAAGTAAAAAGTACAAACAAATATAAAAAGCAGAAAGCATGCCATGAGACAAATGAGGATTATTAACCAGGTCTCTCAAAAAATCATCCAAAATTTCCCGTCTCCACACAGAGATACGAGCCTGCAAATTGATAAGGATGATTATTAACCCTCAGAAAGAGTGCTTTCAAGTCGAACAAAAAGCAAGCTCCTTCAAAATCCTTAAATTGCCTTCATGGAGCCAGTTCTAACACATAAAGCCAACAATATTTCCAGAAATGAACAGCGTACCGGTCATTAAGGAAGTAATTCACAGAACACCCAACTAAAACACATGGCTCCACCTTACATGGAATAGTTAGATTCTTCAAGAGGGGAATGGGAGGGACGGCAGGAAATCAGTAGGCAATCAATTCATTACCATTAACTCCTTGACAAGAGAAGATCATTTCTCAAGGGAAACGCACCAGCTTGTGCCTTTAATATCTAAAAACTAAAATAAATGAAAGTTTCAGTTTATCTTATCATAGCAATAAAATCGTAATTGCTGATGTTACTATGGAAGGTGGCACATAACACGATCAGTTAATTTTTACTTTACATTCTTAGGAAGAAGGTATATCAGGCCCAACAAAATCAAATGTGCATATGACTCCATGGAATCCATGATCCTTACCTTGAAGCTACACGGACATTGTATTCTTTACCAGGATGGTAGAATTCAGCAAGTCCCCAATCAATCAAACGGAGCTTCCTCAATTCATGGTCAATCATAACATTGTGCGGCTTGACGTCTCGATGCATTATGCCTTGGGAATGGCAGTAATCCAATGCCTGAAATTACAACCAAGATACCTAAGTCTTTAATGTACACAGACAAAGTACTTCAATCTATGAATACTAAGGCTTGTTTGTTTAGAATTAAGTTTAAGCAAACGTACTTTTTTGCTTTCCCACCAAAATTAAGAATGTTATCCAAGTTTCAAAAAATTATGAACACAATATGTGTGAATCCATGAGTCAATATTTATATATTGTGAAAGTTCAAGTGTTTGGGATTAAAAAAAGTTAGAGGGCGTATGTCGCAAGATTTAGATTCATCAAAAAGTAAGTGATAAAAGTCTATCCAAACACACACTATTTTCATAGAAGATATATTATTCCTAGTAAAAGAGACACAAACCCAAGATGTTGATGCATCAATGAATAAGAATTGTACCTTAAGAAGCTCATATATGTAGTATCGTATGTCATAATCTGTTAGAGTGGGGTACAAAACTTTAAAATCTGTACTGTTCACATATTCAAAAATCAAGCTAGGGGTTTTCGAGTGCTGATCTCTGACAATATCAAGCAGCTTCACAATATTAGGGCCACCACAGAGATTCTGCAGTATTTTTATTTCTCTCTTGATCTGCAGAGATATAGACATACTGCCATATTAGAGCACAAGATGATAGCAGCAAATGCTAAAATGGCTACCAAAGTAAAAAAACTCAACGATGAGAAACCATGTAAAGTAGACGCATGAATCATACAAAAGGTAAATAGTAAATACAAGAAAGAGAAAGAGTTCATAAATCAATGAAGTATATATCTATTGTTAATTGATAGTCTTCTATAGCAGTCAAATACACTGAAATCGATAAATTACATGTTTGCTTACAACTCAATGTCCACACTGACATCAAATTATAAAGTCGCTACTGCCTAGGTACTCTCACAGGCAGCAAGACAGGTATACAAAACTTCCCAGCATCGTTAAATGCCAGGCATGGACAATAGTTTAACTATTGATATGATGCAACCGATCAAGAGGAGATCAATGAACAAATGCTTCAAGGTATGTGCAGAAAGCTATTTGTAGAATTTGAATTGTTCTGCAGATAGGACCTGCAGTTAGGATGTCAACATCTGTAGATATAGAAAGGCGATTATCAACATATCTTCTCCATCAATTCCATGTGGTGGAAGCACGATCAATGGTACACTATTTATGACGGAACTCCTGCCTAATTCATTGTTCAAACTCCAAAACTTCAAGCACAACCATGGAGTATTACATCAATTATACAGAAATGCGTGTTATAAAGAATGACCAACAGGCATTAGTCTGGCAACATAAATATCCATATTGCTAGGAAATCCGAGTGGAAGGAGTAATCGAAAGAGTTACCTTCTTTTTCTTAACAGGCTTGAGGATCTTGATGACGCATCTTTCATTATTCGTGACGTTAACACCTTCGAAAACCTCGCTATATTTTCCTCTCCCAATTTTTCTGACTACCTCATAGTCATCTTGATCTCTGGCCATGGGGACAAAGAAGAGCAGGAAAACTTAATTATAGATTGTTCAAATTTTCCACAAAATCAAAAACATTGAAAACACGCTTCAGCGTCACTAGACACAGAAGACAACATATGGCAAAGAGAACAGTACAACAAAAGCCAGATTTCTCATCCATTGCAACCAAGGAATAGCTGAAGACACCTAAGAGTCAGAATAATCAACAGCTCTTGCTAGTAGTCAACAAATATCCAGATCTCATAATCCACACCTTGTAAAAGATACTTAAATCTCAGAGAACTCCACTGAATCGATGACACAGAAGGAACTTTTAATTAAAAAAACAAAACCCATCGGAGCAAGCATTAACAAAAGACACATCACTGTCACATCACCCCTCGCTACAACCGTATCTGTCTTGCAACATCCAACTTTTCACTGTCATCAAACCATGTAGCATGCATCGTAGAGAAACTTCAGCTGAACCAGATCATCGAACATAAAGGTTCAAAATTGATATGCTCGAGCTTTGTCTCAGCACGACTAGCTCGGTCAAGCTAAAAACACTAGCCGACCAAACTCTCACCGCGCATCCACCAGCTAAAATTCCACAGCATGCGTCAACATCAAGACAACATCAACCTCGTTGCCAAATGACTCGCATCTCTACAGAAACGATTTTTAGCAACCCAAGACGATCACAACGACCGCGCATTCCCTTCGCCGCACTCGCACGACCAAATTCAGCAAACCCCAGACCAAAGCAGCCGGAAGCAAAACACACCGAAACACAGCATCCAACCCTAACATAACCCAAACAGAAAAAGAAGCGAAACCCATCTCGAAAAACAAGAACTTCAACCGAAACCCACAAGGCATCGCAACCGAAACGCGCCCCGGCGAGCCGCCACCGACCAAACGAAAGAAGACAAGCAAGCAAGAAGAGCAGATCGGGGGGGGAGAGGGATTCCAGCGGTCTACCCCCATTGAACGGTGAGCGCCTCGTAGTCCCAGTAATCCCTGGGCCGGTGCACGTTAACGTCGGCGTACACTCGCGCCCTCGACATCGCGACCTCGAGCTCCGGCGGAAGGGGAAATCCTCCAGCCGTCGACGACGGAGACCAGGGGAGTCGCGACAGATCGTCGGCCCGAACCTAAAGCGGAAGATGCGACTACCGAGAGATTCCGAAGCTCGGTTTCTTGAAAATGGAAAAAACCAAAAAAGAAAAATGATTGAATCTAATCACCCCGTGCAAATTTTTTTTTTTAAGATTTCTTTCGTATTTTTTTTTTCTCCTTCGGGCTTTGCTTTTTCGCAGCTGAAAATATCTAACGCGGAATATAATCTATCCATCCGTGTCGTAGATAATGCTACGTCAGCAGCAACTGTTGACAGTTGGGGGGATTTAACTTGGAAATCACCGGCTTTTTGCAGGCAAGTGCTGGAGAAATTTAACCCACACGAGTATTTCCAATTTTAAATGAAAGGTAACTTCTTTTTTCTTTTTTTCGGGTACCGCTTTGGCCCGGCGAAATCAACCAACCGTGAAAAGGGATGTTGCAGTTTTGAAGATCCAAAGCTATTGCAGCTTATAAGAAATGGTTTTCATCTAGTTTTGAGGTGATTTTAAACCATACATCGTCGATCGTGTAAGTTACCACACTTCGCTTCGCAAAAATAATCACGTCATGGCATGATTACAGCCACAGACTATATTGAACCGGCTTCTGGATATCTAAAACATAGCCGTTTCTTTGTTATGCCGGGAAAACGAGTTATGCAGTTTTCGACTGTTGATGACCCTTTAAGAATCAATCAACAGAAAATTTTGGCGACCGTTAAAGTTTACACTAAAAGTTAGGGAATTAATTTGTTGCTTTTGAAAACCAAAAGCCATCGACAAGATTCATTTGAATTTCCACCACCGTCATCGTCTGTCCTGATCCCACGAACTTGTCCCTGCACAGGTGGACTCGAATTGGGCTCGAGGCTTCGGCCTATGGGCTTGGGGCTCAGCGCTTGGACCCGATAGCCCGACTTGAGCCTAAGGTAGCCACACCCAACCCCCCCCCCCCCCCCCCCCCCTGGTTTGCTTTTGGTTTGCCATGTCAGAGAGATATTCTAAGTAACTCTTCATGCTAGAGATATTGGTAATCAATTCTCGATTTGAGAATTCGGTAGTGCTCCCGTCCCGTGTTGTTCTTGGATGGCCTTCAGTTATAATTCTCTAATTGCTTTGGCGTATGAATTTCAGTAGTCAGGGTGAGTATCTAATCGTATCGCCGGTACTTTGACAATCACCATTGGTTATGACTCGATGCAAATTATATTGGCTGGTGATGTTTTGCTTATCAGTATGCTTCTCTTTTCCAAAAAAGGTAAAGAAAGAAAAACTACATTCCATGACGAGGATGAATTGCACTGTCAAAAGGAGACATTTTATTGAACTGTCGTACAATATGTCCATGCATTGTTTACAGAATCTAAACAAAAATAATAGATAATGGAAAACAAACAAACTAAATCCATAAGATTAAGTTTAGTGGGTTGTTTGCTCAATTTTTAAGAATCACAATTCGAGATTTGAATTGGGAATCCCACTTCTGTATTACATTTTACTTTGTTCAGGATGAAAAAATCTTCATCCCGTGATTTTCTCGAACCCCTTGCCACTTCACCCAAGGATAGAATTCACACGCAAGTACGTGGGTATTAATACTATCATGCTAACAAAGCCCCGTGATACCAAGAGAGGTCAAGTCACGAACAATCGAACTATGATGCTTTGATGTGAAGATCACGTAATTGTTCACTTTCGAAATTGGGGGCTTTTGCTTAGGTACGCTATAAATAGCCGTAATTAAAATTACACTGTAAAATAAGAATGGGCATCTCATCATATTTTTCTTGAAAAGTGCAAGAAAAAATATCTGCACAATCGGGCCATGATATGAAAAAGATATTAGTACGAGTTTATTATCTCAAGCATGTTTTAAATTTTTCTCTTTTGCCGATAATGTTAGGTGTTCGAGACTTTATCGGGACATGTAAAGCCCTACATCACGTGTGGCAACCCATTGTCACAGATATCCCTGGGGAACCCGAGTGTTAGCGACTGTGAAAGAATACCCAAGTGTCGGACATTGGAACTTAGATATCAGGCAAGGAGGATGAACACACTCACCACTCGCACAACTCTAATAATGTTCTTTAGCACGTCTTGATTGAGAACAACTTAAAGTACAGAAAACGATGGCATAAAGTAAAAGATTCGGATGTGTAGGAGTAACAAAACAATAAAATAACACGATTATTCATGTGAATTTGATGTTGATGCCATCGAAATTTCTCCATGCAAAGTGCCGATCGTTTTGCTGCATACACGACCACGGCACGGGGCGCAACGAGCCCGACACCCCCCTTTAGCGAGCCCATCGTCCGACCACCAGGACCCCCGCTGCCCGCACACGTGGGGCGAGCCGGGCGGGTCAACCGTCAACGTCCCCCGCCGAAAAAGGGAAGTCGCCATCAGCGCGACCCCGACCCCGAACCCCACAACGGTCGACACGTGGCGGTCAACCGAGCCACGATCTCGTCGAGGAGAGGGAGGGGTGAACCGACACAGCTTGTCGTCCTCTCTCTGTCTGTGTCGACACCAAGAACTCCTTCAGGGGGAGAGAGAGACAGAAGAGGAGGGGGAGGAGGACGAGGATGGTGGCCTCAACGTCAGTCGATCTGCAACCGTAGGGAGAGAAGGTATCTTCCTGCGAACAACAATCTTTCTTGTTCCGATCTTTTGCTAATTTAAGCAAATTTTCGTTGACGCCTTCAGTCCTCAGATTGCGGGATATACAATCTCTGATTCTGTTTCCACCTTGGTGCGCGCGCGTGCGTGCGTTGTTTCTTCTCATCCGTCATTTGTTTTTGTAGCAGCGAAAAGGTTTCGCCTTCCCCCCTCCTTCCCGTCTCTGTTTCTCTCCTCCTCCTCTGCGGCCCCGTCCCCCCGGAGGAGCAAGGACCGAAACAAGGCGCGAGGCTTCTTTCGAAACGACCCCTTTGCGCCGCCGTCCGGGGGATGAGAATGCCGTGCTGGGACAGATTCAAGCACCCTCTCAAGAATGTCTGGATCGGCCTCGCCACGCGTCTCCGGATGCGCAAGAGCGGTAATGTCTTTTTTTGATTCGATCTCTTCTTGGTTCTGTTCATGTTTTTTCCGGAAATGGGTGTAGGAGCATTGAGCGTGTCTGCTGTTTTTCGATCATTTCTTCCTGTGAAATTCTGGCGATTCGATCGGCGAAATCGGATATGCATTTAGGGATTGTGGATCGAACAAGATCGTTTCTTTTTTTTCTTGTTCCTGCATCCTATGATTATTTTCCTTGTTTTGTTGAGCATTGTTCAATCAGGGGATACTGTCGGCTGATGGCTAAACGAGGTATTGGCAGTGGCAGATTCATTTTAGGCTTATGCCCAGTTGGAGATTGTTGTTGCTGATAACCATTCTCGTTCTGCTTCGAAATACTTGTTTTCCGATCTCTGGTTTTCCTCTCGTTTTCTGATTTAGTGTTCATATTTTAACCCTTTTTCCATCAGAAATTTTTTGTGGACTACTGTCCTGATTAGAAAAAGGAGGGCGTGCTTGACGATATTTCGCTTTCTTTTATTTTTCTTTCCTTTTTTCCGGTGACGATATGAGTCTGGCTCCCTGTTGAATGTTATCTCTTTTATTCTGCTTTTGGCTAAACCTGTTAGGAGTTGGGTGTTCTCTTCTCACATCACAGAGTACGCTTATCAGCATCAAGCATAAGCTAGAGTGGCTGGTTGTTGTACCAACTTTTGATAATGTAGCTTCAGTCAAGCTACGACTAGTGCTGCAGTTGTTAATTCGTGATTTTTCTTGTGTTGAGTAGATTAAATGATGATAGCAATAAGCATGGTTATTTTATTATCGATAGGAAAGAAGACGTTGCTTGCTTGCGCTTTTATTTCGCTACTTGCTGTGCATTGAAGGCCACGATGATTTGTTATGGCGTGATGCTTTCATTTTGTTTCCATTCTGTCTTGAGTAGGATTTTCTTTTTCTTTCTGTTTTGTTTTTCTGATTTTCCTGGCAAAACCTAAGCTCACCAGGAGACTAATGTATATGAGTGGCAAAAAATGGGGATCCACCAAAAGCATTGTTTGAGCTAAGTTAGCTGAATTTGAACTCATGGAAGGACCATGTGATCTTAAGTGCTTCCACTTGCCTTAAGTTCTTTGGTGATCATCAATTGATTCCTTTTAACTACCTCAATCTTTTATGTTTTGTAAAGAAAATCTCCCTTACCATTTTCTTTCTGTCAGGTGCGCCAAGTTTCGCATAATTGCTTAATGGGTTAGTTTGATTCAAGCATTGTCTTTTTTAGGTGAGGCTTTGACACCTTTTCTTTTGGGAAATATAGGACTACTGAAGCTGCGACATGATGTGAGGAGGTGCGAGTACGATGATGTACATGTGATGTGGGAGATGTTGGAGAGAAACGAGAAGGAGATTGCCCAGTCGTCCAGGCGGATGAAGAAAAGATCGTTCTGGAGTATCTTTGGATGGGCTCGGTGTGCTCCATACCTTCGCCGCAGCTTTTGAGCGATACAACAGAATCACTTGCTCGCAAGCTTTTTCTGATAGCACACTGGCGAAGTATTTCTGAACAGATAAGCGGCCGACTAGAAATAAGAGAGGATCTCGCTACCATATACCAGAGTTTTCTTCTCACCATCTGTAGATATCAACAGTGCCTCCCGGATGGATTTAATCCATTCCTTCTGTTCCCCACTCGCCACGCTTGCGCTTCTATGAAATAAGTTAGCACCGTATATACTCCCTTGCTTGTACTAAATCGGAGATTATAATCTGCTATTTTACGTGTATATTACTAGACTGGTGCCTCATCTACTCTTTTTTCTCTCTTCCCTTCTCCTACTTGAGTTCTTGCCTTGGTCATATGCTTGAAAAGAACACCACCAGTCGCTGTTGCTTTGAGACCACACAAAGCCAAGGAATAGTTTCGTTAGCATTTTTCCCATCACCAATGCCTCTCAGTGGTCCTACTATCTGTTTATTGGGGTTTCCTTAGAGTTGATGCTTCAGTTGAAGACGTTCTGAAAACTAGGTTTCTGTCAAACGGGTCTATATCGAACGTAACGGTAATACTACTCGTCATATAGACAGTAGATTACATACCGGAAGAGAGTGTCGTCAATGCTCCAAAAAGCCAAAGGAGTTTGTCGGCTTTGTTTAGGTGGTCGGTCGTCCATATCGCTGTCGCGACATTATTAGCCAGAGAAGTCGGTGCAATTACCGGTTGAAAGCAATCATATCTTTAGGGAAGTTTGCTATGATATGGGGATGCACTACTCTTATCGGTTACTAGGTGAACCGCCCTTCAGGATGCATTTTGTCTTGTCTGGTTAAATTCCTAGGAACGGTAGGTTGGCAGGCCGGGATGATCCTTTACCTAAATCCATCCATTGACTTCATATTCTCTCCATAAGAATGGTCTCAGTCGACTATAATTGCATGATGAGCCAATTGTGTCGTTCGGTCAGCCAAATTACAATGAAACTACTTGTCGTAAGGAGTTGCAAAAGGCGCACACGGTAATGTATGGAATCGACATTTGGAAGATGGCGCGGTAGCTATCGGCCTTCTTCTTACTCGGTGGATGATGATGATCTCAGTTGAAAACGACCACCCTCGGTGGATGCTTTGATGTCTCAACCACCGGATCCGCCATTCCTCCTCTCTTGATCTCAACCAGCAGATTGTTTTGATTATTTGGTCGTCTATAGTTAAAAAATACACCTGTTCCATATGGTCGGTGCGGTGCGTTGTGGCGGGACCTGTCAAATGAGTGGGTTCGGGTCGAAAACTCAATCCAAATAGATTCATTTATCCCGTTTTAACCCATTTTTTCTTGCAATGCAAATGTAGTAACTTATACCCGACCTAACTCATATTACTAAAACACTAACATATTTAACCTAATTTAAGAAAACTCATACTCAAATTGAGGTGAAATTGTGGAGTGAGTGAGCCTAAGATCGAGTGAGGATAATGCAGATAGAGTCATAGAGGTGGGTTGAGTCTAAATAAATTGTAAACCTATTTATGTCTCATTTAACATCCGTATTATGTTTAAACTAATTTATGACCAATTAAAGATTATAACCATCTCGTATAACAACTTAACCCATTGATAGACCCATTTTTGACAGGTGTAGGTGTGGCGAACATTTTCGAGGGGAAGATTGTTGGGATTCAAGGAGCGTATGATTAAAGGAACCCAATATGCATGCCCCAGGAGCGAGCGACTGTCGAACCCATCGATGAGTGAAAAGAGAAGCATGGAATCGAACTGGAGACCTCTGACTCTTATACCAATTGGCGCTGAGAAGCGCAATTGTTTGTTTAAAAAATTATTGCATGTCTGGTTTGAAGACCCAATCATTCCATAGAATAATCATAAATTATGAGTCATGTTTAAAAAGTTGCAATTGTAAATAACATTATTTGGCTGTACATGTTTTAATAGCGCAAAATTATAATAAATGCAACTTCAATGTACATTAAAGTTTATTAGAAATTTCTCATTTAATCCCATTTCCACGACATTTTTTTTGTATTATCAAACAAATGAATTTCCATTCCATTTCATTCGCGCGAATTCACCAAACAAATATATTAAAACCATTATTCCATTTCATTGAGCCGTACCAAACATAACGTTACGGTCTGATGTCTTTCATATCTTATAACTTAAGTTCTATGGCATTTCCATTCATTATATATATAAAAATACATTTGTATACAATTTGCAGGAAAGGTGCCCTTGACACCTATCAAGCAATCTGATAAGGAAATAATTACAATCTTTGAAGCACCAGCTATTCTCATAATATGCATAATCGACGGTTGAAAATCGATTTTTTTTTTCTATTAGGTATATTAAACAAGCTAACTTGTTGATAACTCATATACATCCCCAATCAATCAAAGTTGAGTCCGATGAAGAAAGCGAAAATGACACGAGCAGTTCTTGAACTTTAACTTAAAGTGCAATGTGGTCCTTGAACTTTTAATTTGTTCGATGCAATCCCTAAACTTTAATTCAATGTGTAAGTTGGTCCATGAACTTTTAATTTGTTCGGTGTCATCGTTGAACTTTTGGTACATGTTCAATTTAGTCCTCAGGGACTACATTGAACATTTTCATATAGTTTAGGAATTACATTGAACATGTGCCAAAAGTTTAGGGACCACATTGAACATTAGGTTAAAAGTTCAGAGACTATATTGAACAAATTAAAAATTTATGAATCAAATTACATATTGGATCAAAGTTCATGAATTGTTTGTGTCATTATTTCATTAAGAAACAAATAGGGCTGAAAGGAGAAAGGGGCTAAAACTGGAGGGGCCAAATTGCAATTCTCCCGTTTTGCGGCGGTTCTGTCGTCTCTTTTGGCCGCAGAAAGTCCCAGGCACTCGAAGCCGCACGAACGAGCTAGGGTTCTGCAGGGGAAGGAGCAAGAATGGGGCATTCGAACGTGTGGAACTCGCACCCGAAGAGCTACGGTCCCGGCTCTCGCGCTTGGTACGTTGATCCTGCCTTTCTGGTTCGTGTCGTGCGCGCGATGTTGACGACAACGTTCGTGAATGAGAACCGAATCAAGCTGTCTGAATTGGTTCATTGCATCTGTTCCCGTCCGAGAATTTCGATTGCGTATTCGTTCCCTTCGTGGTGTGGTCGATCGTTCTTTCATAGTTCGAAAGAGGAACAGAATCGGGTCCTCGTGATGCGTTTCGTCAAGCCAAACCGGTGATGTTGTGCTGCTTTTTTCATGACTAACGCATCTGTCGAAGGAACCGGCACTGAATTTGCTCAAAAGTCTCTCGAGATGTTTAGCTCACCTGTGAACTTGATAGGAAAGACTTAGGGCTTTCTTAATCCGGTTAGTTAATCTAAAGTTCCGATTTTGTGTCGGTTTCTGGCCATATATGTGCTTTGATGGGCATTGGAGGCAAAATGGGATGATGCATGTGTATGGGGATGTTTGTGTGAATTGCCCTAACTCTTTAACATACTGTGGTTTTCTGCAGTCGCGTTTGTGGGAACCCTCATGGTTTGATCAGGAAGTACGGGCTGATGTGCTGCAGGCAGTGCTTCCGCAGCAATGCTAAGGAAATCGGCTTCATCAAGGTAATTCTTTTCTTTCCCAGCCCGGTTTCTGTTCCATAAGAGCTGACTTCGTGTAATCTCGTCGTATCATATGCTTGTTAGTTCCAATGCCATTTGCCGATAATCACTTCACCTCTAAGTAGGAATTCCATGTAATAGTCTTTCATGGATATAGTTCTCCTTACACTGTATTTTGGCTGCATTACTGTAGATTGCCAGTGAAAAAGTGAGTCTGGATTATTTTGGGTTGAGGGTGGTCCTTCGTGATTCTCCCTACCCAATGCTTTAGGATCTATTTATGCAATCAGCTCTTCTCTAATCTGATTAGTGAGACTTGTCTTCGTGGACTTTGATACCCGTTGAAAGAGCAAAGTTATCTAGACCTTCTCAGATTTGTGAGGGTTTTGCTTGCGCCATGAGTATGTGATGGTTTTTTGTAGATAAGTTTAAAAGGGCGAATCCTGTGCATTTGTATTTCTAGAGCAGTGATTGTTTTCCTCTGCATTTCCTTAAGTAGTTGAACAAAAGTCACACCATTGCTTCTGTGTTGCAGTATCGGTAATGGTTCGGAGGAGATGAATAAAATTTTTCCAAGGTCTTGCTCGAGGAGTAGCCCTTATGGCAGCCAATTGGTTTCCTCATGCGTGGAACGGCTCTGGAACCGTCGACATTCGAGCAAATTATGGAATGTTAACGACATTCTTTTGTTTCTTGCATTGGTACTTACCTTTTGGTCTATTTAAGGTCATGTTTGTCATCAAGATTTTGGCTGCGGTCTCTCTGGTCACCTTTGTGCTTAATGAATGACTGCTGCGAGAAAGCAGGAATACTGAATTGCTATTCTCGTTTCATGAATGTGCTGCGCTCTTAGGACTCGGTGAATTGAGTATTGTTACTAACTGATGGTAGAGATTCAAGAAATCGAGATAAACTGGCTAAGAGCCGATCCTGTCGATACAAAATTATGATAGGTGCGTCTCGACTCCCGTAACCAGAATGTGCTACTTGGCATACTATTTCGAAAGGGCGAGTGCTCTACGCATGAAGTCTCAAGTTTGGATGGTTAGCTGATAGTATGGTGTCAGTCCTCAGATATAATGAAAACATTTGCCTCAGACGGTGATGGAGCACGTCGCTTTACTAAATTCAATAGTTTGGTTTCCCTTTTCTTCGACGTCTACGGCTCTGCAAATTTGACCTGCTCTCTCTATGTGGTCCGTGCCTCTACTCTGCTCGATATCAGTAGCAAGAACACGTCTAGCCGGCAGTTCTCCATTTGAATTGCCCGTCTCCCCGAGTGCTAATTCTGTTCAATTTTTAGGACAAACAAAACCGATATGCAATGTTGCCGGGATCATAAGACCGTAGGCGCAATGTTGCCGCGGTGTCTCTAGCTCTGTAAAGGAGGGCAGCTTTGTCTCCTCGTTGTGACAACCTCCACAAAAACTGAACATCAAACAGAGCCAGTGCAACACCGTCCCCTCAAAGATCTCTGGTCCTGTCCGTGTAAGATAAAAGGTAAAACAAGTGGAGGTGCGGGGAATCGAACCCCGTGCCTCTCGCATGCGAAGCGAGCGCTCTACCATATGAGCTACACCCCCTTTGTGATGGAGTCGTCTAATTTATTTAATTCGTACCTTAATTATAGGTTTGCCGCCTAATTTAAAACGAATACTCGCTGCCGAATGGCTCGCATCCCACCGCGCCTATCTGCAGCGGAATTCAAGTCTCAACTACTCTGGTTCTGCGACCGAAATTTAATGCAACCCACACGCGGACGACCCACTTCCATTGTTGTGTTCTTCTTCACTCTCTCCTGTCGCCTGAGCTCGGACGACAAGCGTCATAAGCACAGTGTCCCTCGCTTTGATTGCATAAAGACGCGCGCCCACACGAGAACATCTTGGTGGTGAGGTGCGTGTCTTTATAACCATCAGGGAAAACAGTCCACCTTTTTCCTAAAGTCTTCACCGATTTTGATGGTGTTCTCTCTCTAGAATCTTGGGTCTTTTACTGAGGGAGAGGGAAGTTTCTGATCTGGGTTTTCAGTGTACAGGAGGAGGCTTTGCTTGGTTTGACTTCTTGAAAGGCACAATCTCAGCGATGAGGCTTTCAAGCTTCTGCTTTGTCTTCTTTCTGGTTGGGGCAGCTTTGACTTTCCTGGGTCTGTCATCCACCGGTAAGCAAAATCCGAGTCCTTTACGATAAAGTTTCCTTTTGGATGCATCTGTTCTTCACATACTGGAGCATATATTTCTTGGGGTTCTAATTTCAGGGTACTTTTGCTCTGCATGTCCTGCCCTTTTAGTTTCTTTGGGACTGGAATTGAGGATAACTCTTCCTCTTAATAGCAAAAACAGAAGAAAAACTAGACTAATTCACTGTGCTAGGGTGATTCTACGGTCTCTGAAAGTAGGAGTGAGTAAGATGGATCGCCCGAACCGGAACCGGACCGGACCAGACCGACCGGTTGGCCCGGTTCTAGGGAATATTGGTCCGATTCTTGGTTCTTAAAAGCGGAACCGGTTTCCGGGTGGTCCGGTTCCCGGTTCTAGGGTGGGAACCGGTTTCCGGGCGGTCCGGTTCCCGATTCTAGGGTAGTAGGAACCGGACTGACCGGACCGATAAATATATATTTTTCTAATTTGTTCATATATATATTTATTTACTTTTTAAAATTTTTGAAAAAAAATAGAAAGCTTAATCTAATTTCCCCAATTTCCTCTTACCTTTACCAATAAGTGATTGGTCCCATTGGAATCGGACCGGAACGGATCGGTCAGATCCAGTCCACGATCCTGGGACTAGCCAGTCCGGTCCCCGGTCCTAGAAACTGGGAACCGGTCCTCCCGGTCGGGTTCCCGGTTCTTGAGTTGGACCGGACCGGCAACCGATCAGCCCCTACCTGAAAGACTTTTCGATCGTTCGCATGTCATGCAACTGGGTCGGAATGACAACAAAGAGGACATTGCATGGTGCGTTACAACTAGGGAATGGTTCCATAACTGATCCTGTTTCAGTGGGGAGCAGTTCTTTTCTGCCAGTTTTATGGAAAAACAAATGTCTTGTTCATATCCAGGATATCGACTCTGAAAATTTGAATTGAGGTCGAAAGAACGCAATCATGTGTATTTAGTTGCTCGTGCTAGTCACATACAGATGATGCTAAGAAGAGCCTTTTTGTTTTTCTATTGAAACAAATGTATCTGTATAGCAAGGCATTAGGTAAGAATCATCTCTTTAGGTTTACTGTTTAAGGCCAGAATCATGAATCTCTCTAAAGAGATGAATCGACTGACTCACCAGAACCAATATCTAGCAAACTTTGCAGCACGAATTTAAATCTCCCGCGCGGATGATGCTGATCCACAGGTGACATTTCTTAATTACAGATGGAGTAAATTTTGCTGGCACTGGTATTTCGGCCACCCGAGCGACAAGCCGGAAGCTGAAGGTACATTCCCTAAGTTAACTGTGTATCCAAAACTTAAACAGTGTCTAGTTTTTCCATGAGGACTCCTTGATCGAATTCGTGATTAGCTCAAGACAGTTACAAAATTCTGCTGTTACATCAAATTGCAGGAAGATGGGCATAATCCTAGGACTTACGGGAACGGGAACACTGGGAAAGCAAATCTGGAGGATTACGGACCAATCGATCCGGCTCCAAACTCAAAGGGGTCGATAAGGCCTCGACCAATCGACCACGGCACTCCTCTTATACCATTCATACCAAAGCCTTCACCTCCTAGTCCAATCAAGGTTGGCGAGTGAGTTGTATCAGCCGAAGAAAGAGCTGTAGCTCTGTGCTGGGTTTGTGTATATGTTAGGGACATACGGAGGAATCTAGCGTGTGTTATCTAAAACATATCGTCCTGTGTAATTTTCACTAGGTAGTTTAAATATTATGACCATTATGTTGGCACGAGTATATTTTCATACCCTTTGATGTAAATAATGATCTCCAATAACATCGGGGGAGCCGCGTCCTTGATTTGTAGAAGCCGAGATGAGCAAGCGAGCGCCTGCTAGATAACATAATATCGCTGTCAGCTCACCAATGGACACGGCCTAGTTTCCTTGTTCCTTCTTAATATGATTGATTTGTAGAAGTACATAAACTTCATAGTAAAGCAAATCGAAGCAAAGCAAAGTCTAAAATATGACAAAACAAAGCCGAATAAGGATCAATAAAGCATTAGTAGGGGTTAAGTACTCGTTCCACAAGAACGAATTTGTCAAGCAAAATAAATTAGTGGCCGATTACTGGATTGGAGCACACGCCGAAAATCCCTTCTTCAATAGCTACGGCGTTGCCAGTTGGAGTGTGTGTCTAAGTCCGGCTTTCTCTTCGCTGCCATACGGAGACACCAAATAGTCGAATGAACAGAGTTCCAACATTTGGAAGAGCAAATTTTCGCGGTTCAACAAAACAACAGAGCTCTTGCAATCACCATTGCAATCGGGGGCGGAGGACTTGTACAGAGCTCTTGCAAGGACAGCTCTGATCTTTCTCTCTGCCGACCATGATCTTCAAACCAAGTAACAAACCAATAAAAAAGGAAAAAAAAAGGATGGAAGAAAATTCTTATAGCTTTGTCCCCTGATCGACCTGCGGAGAGAGCCTCATTCATCTATACAATATACAAAAGTTTCTATTAGCAGGCCACTGGTTTTGCAATGCGTACGCGCATACGTTTAGTCAAAATACGTCAATACAGCTATTTCCTGTGTAGCAACCCGGGAACGAAGCGTTCCCCGTGAATTTCTTACCCTTTTCTCCTTCGAAATTGAATATGTTGTTCGCGTTGTTGACTTCATCCTTCTCTCTCTCGAGCAAAGTTACGCGTGGATTGCGTTTGTCTCACGGAACACTCAAGAATTGGAAAATGTTTTTCCGAAAAAACGATTGCTCTTATTGTTCACAAAACTTAACGAAGGAAAAATAATTTCATCACCCGCAAAAATAGTTATGCATAGATAGTTGTCGATAACGACGACATTTTCCGTTGACTAAACGTTCTAAGCGATATAACCAATTATTTTCCGGAAAATATTTTCCAAATCTCGATTTTTTTTCGTGAAACAAGCGCACCAGTGGTAGGCCATCGCTTGCGATGCTGACTTCTGCATCCGCGCAAGCTCGTGCAGCAAGTAAGGATTTGGGCAGCGAATCGCATGGGTCGAGTAGATAATGCAATGCTCTGATACCATTTGTAGAGACCGAGTCGAGTCAGGCCTTACCAAATGAGTGCTTGAGGGGTAATCAATTTTTCCTCCTTTGAATGTGGGACTGGCCGGGGCTAATATGATGGGTCAATATGAGAAAATATGATTGGAACCTCGTTGGAAGTGGAGAGGCAATGACTTCATCTATTGCCCATATTGACTCACGATTCCCGTGGAAGGGTAAATAATTCTCAGAAATTTAATACTATCTTTTTCGTGTTTTTGTTCTGTTCCCCCGATTTCGTTCCCTGACCATAGAAAAGCTTAGGAAAAGAAGAAATGGCAAAAATCGTCCGTGAACGTTAGAACGTTTAATCCAAAAATTTAAGTTAATAAGTGGAAGGAGATCACATGTGTATAAAAAGTATATAAGCAAACTTTAGCACCCCACTCACGTGCAGATCGAATCAGAAAAGATATGCGGAATTCGACAGATGGACAGCCCCAAATGCGAAACAAGTCAGGACGGAACTTTGGCTTTAATACCACGTCAGAATATTCGACCCAAAAGGTTCAAACTAACGAGTGGAGGAGAGCACGCGCACATATAAAGCATATAAACCCCGTAGACAATTGATCCGAGGGATACTTTAGCACTCCCTCTCACATGCATGTCGGATTAGCAAAGGCACATAGAATTCGACGGACGGAAAGGGGGGTAGGGATCGACAAACAAGTCGAGATGGAACTTGGCTCCGATACCATGTTAGAATGCTCGATCCAAGAGGCTCCAAGCACGAGCGATGCGAGATGCTTTGATAGCGAAATTCCACACCGGAGACTTAGACTTCCTCTGTTTTTGTTTTCCTTCCTTCCCATCCGATTTGGACAGACTAAAGTAATACGAAAGAGAGTCGTCTTCGAGTACAGCACGCGTCACATGTATTGTTTTTTTCCTCCTTTATTTGGGAGTCAAGGGGTCGTTTTGACACAGCGGAGGGATCGCTCGGGATAAAATAATGCGAGGTTGAATATCCCCAACCGATTCCGAGAGGGCGCACGCCCCCCCCGCACGAAAAGGGTCATCGGAATCTCACACTCCACCCCCTCCACATAAACCCACCCCCCACCACAAATTGCGTTGCGTTCCTTGTATTTAATCTTTAGTGCGACGCTTTCACGCTCACGCCCGCGCCCCAACATTGGATAACCGGATTTTATAATTCGATCGACAACGAAATGTCGATAATAATAACAATAATAATTATAATAATTAATAATTAAAGATGATAATAATGATAAGCCTTGGTTGAGCTGATTACGTTGGCAACCACGGGCCAGAGAAAATATATTTTAAAAAAAAATTAATGAGAGGAGGAGGAGGGAGAAAGTGCTGCGGAATTGCGAAGCGAAAGCGGACAACCGTCTCCGTTTCGGGGTGGGGCCCGCGGGGGAAATAATTGCTGGGGAGACGCGGCGAAACTGAGGCGCGATCGTGTGTGTGTGCGGGGGAGAGAATTTCGAGGCGTTTCTGTTTCTTCGGCTTGTTGGGTGATTGTCGTTTTCGTGGCGGGGGCATCGAATCGGACGGTGATGATGAATCGATGATGCTGCTCCCTTCCTTTCTTTTTCTTTTTTATTTATTATTTTTATCTCTTTTCTTTATCTTTTTCCTTCTTTTTTGTGATTTTGTTTTTGTTTTGTTTTTTTTTGGCGGGGTAGTGTGATGACGTGGAACCCACTTCCGGTGGAGGAGGACTTCGGGATTGGAGTAGCCTGACGTGCATCGCACTTGTTCTCTCTCTCTTCTCGTTTCCTTTTGGGATGATCGCAAAGAAAAAAACAAAAAAATCTCTCTCTTTCTTTTACTATCCAATTTACGTGAATTGTCGGATGATCTTTTTTAAATTTTCCGGACTAACGAAACAACGGAGCTGATAATAATTCATCAACTTTTCTTCGCCGTGTTCACTCTCGTCACGATAGCGGAGATCTCGTGTGGACAGCAGGACATCGATCATTATGCCATGCAAAAGCATTGCTTTTTTTGTGATTCGGGTTGGCAACCCAATAGAGCAAATGCAACATGTCATTACGATAAGGGCGCCTCAGGAGGATTCTAGATTAAAAATTGAAGGTTGGATGTGCAAATTGCCGTAGGTGAGCCTAGGAGAATACTTGAGGTTGAGATCTGTCTAGAAATAGAATCAATTTCTTTACGTTTAAATTTACTCACTGCTACGTTAATGCTTTTATATGTATCATTGTATCGGTATTGTCGGTAAAATTAGAGCATAAGAGATAAAGTTTCGAAAGAATTGGCATCCTTTTCGAGGGCGAAAGAAAATGGATAAACGAGAATATATGTGACGCTAAGGATAAAAACTGATCGTGTCATGGGAACCATAAGGAACATGTTCATATCGTACTTTGATCACACCTATGGACTATAAGCACGTTAATAGTATAATATATCACATCGATACCATCAAGAATCGAGAACTTTTCCTCCTGGCTTGACCTGCTTTCAGTAACGAGAAAACAAATCGTATATATCAAATTCACGAAAAAGGTTTATGGACTCACATGGAAAACTTCTTTGTGCGCTTTGTGATCGGATCGAGCAATTTTTCTTCTTAACTAAAAATAGAGCGCATTTAAGTGGGAAAAAAAGAGCGAAGGAAAGAGAAGACGGTCCTTACAGCTTGCAAACATCCGGTTAGTAGGTGGGATCATAATAATCGGATCAATAACTCTCGACGGACAGCCTAAAAGCTACCGATTCGGAGATCGTAACCATCCCACCCTCTAAAATCAAAATCTTCTCCACGATGAATTCCCCAATTCGAATCACGCTGGACAAAAACGACGACCCCTCTGCAAAAATTTTCTTGGTAATTAGGCCAACCAACCAAATTCAAAGAGGGTGCTTTCGACCCCTGTTGTAAACTCGAGGTATAAATGACCCCCATCTTGCCAATTTTTTTTATAACCAAAAAAAAAAAAATTTGCTCGCGATGACATTATTATTGGAGCCTTTTCCTGCTTTTTTGTGGCGCATCAACATTTGTCAATACTTGCCTAGAGGAATCTCCATCTTCGGGCCATCACCCCAATTCATGCACGAACTTTTTGTTCGGGGCCAACGTCACGACGACCCCCTCCCCCACTCGTAACAAAACCCTTATTACGTCCAGTGATTATTGCAGCAGATCGCAAACATATAATCAATCAAATGGGTAGGAGAAGCTAAGCTGGCGCGAGCTTTTCGATTCGGAGGCGTTTGTTCGGCGAGATTCCATTCCCGTGCTTCGCTCGCGCCTGCGTCATCAGACGTGAGATTCTTCCCAACCACCGCCTTAAAAACGTACGACAATTTTTTCGGGTCGATCAGGGGGTAGCTCTCGACGAGAAAAGAGATGGAAAGAAACTGAAGGAGAAGCAGCTCCTCGTTCGGGCCCCCCACTTACGTGGCGCGGGCCAATGAGACGGGGGGTCGCCGGTTTGCGCACTCCAATGGCGAGGTTTTACTTTTGTGTGTTTTGTGGTTGGAAGAGTCGACACGAAACGACCCGTCGATTCGAATTCAAAATCCGGGCACGGGGAGAGAGGGGTCCTCGTCAATCGTCGCCGTGGCGAAAGCGACAGACCCACTTGCGCCAGAAGCGGCGAATCGGACGAGATGCGTGATGAGACGGGACCGATCCTACTCCCTCCTCCTCACCTCGCGCGTGCGCTCTCGAGTCGCTACAGATGGAGGCCCTTTTTGCTTATGCAAGCCGACACATAGGTTCCGATGAGACGACCCCCCGCCGTCTCGACCAGTAGAACCAGGCCGACACAAATCGTTTCGCCCATTTTTTTTTATTTTTTGGGTATTTCTTTCTCGTCTTTTTATAAAGGATCGCCTCGAAGGCATTTTTTAATCGTGTTCGATGCAGGACAATTCAATCTGTCCTTCTTCTTTTTTTTTTACTAAATATAAATGGCGAACGATATGAGAGAAATTAGAGTTGCTCGAAATTTTGAGCGTTACCCATGAAAGAAAATTTTCATATTAAAACGGACGTTGGCAATTCGCGTGCTTTACACCACCATCTCATGATCATACCGTGTCGAATTCAAATTCAACCTGAACGCGAACATTTTTTTATTAATCGTGTCGACACTTTGAAATCCAAAAACGACGTATCTGTTAAGCGGGTTACTCGACGCAACACATTCAATATGTGAGCTGGGCGTGCGTTAACGTATTTAGACGTGTCTAAATGTACTAGACGGGTCATTATGTTAACACCAACGGTACGCTCATCCGTGTAATCAAACTCTCATCGAAAACGCGGATCCATTCACGCATTTGCTACTCGTGATAGAAGAGTTGACCCGTTTATAAACCGAAACCGTTTATGCCGGACACAACATGCTTAATTATATGTCCCGTAAACAAGTCGGGTCGGAAATTGTCAATCCCATGCAAGGAATTATCAAAGGCTCTCTAAACTTTGGAACGGTATACTTAAGCAATCGCTCTCATCTTCTTCTAAGCGGAATTACTTGATTGGGTAGAAGGAATTATTCTTTTAAGATGATGCATACATATTCAATGTATACCACGTATGGAAGCTGAACATCTTCATCATTGATGACAAAAAATTGACTTATTTTCCTAACAATTTAAGCTTTTGAGAAAAAAAATATTTGAAAATAAGCAGTTTTCTCATTTGATAAGAGTAGAAAAGCTTGTTTGATTTGAGCGATACGTCTTTACCAATGTCCGAAATCCTTTCGTGTCCAATCTCTGTTCCCTTCCTCCTCCTTTACCTTTCCTTTTCAAAAGGGATTCCTCTTTGATCTTTGAAAATAGACACGAAGTTTCTCCGAGCACTCGAAATATTTTATTAAACCCTCAAGTTTTTAACAAGACCGGGTGCCTTCGCCGCAGTGGATTACGGGTCGAGATCAGTGATCGCATCACGCTCAATTGCAGCGGAGAAAACAGAGCGAAGGAGTAGTACTAAATCATCTTACATTAAATCAAAAAGACATTACATGTAAGATTCTCCCCGTTTAAGGTTCTTTCTGTCTTATCTAAGTCTCTAATACCATTGTACCAAAAACCCCGCCGGAGCAAAATTCCGGCCGGTCGCTGGTCCCTCATCATTCATTTACTTCACTTGTACACCGCCGGCTTATCCCCCCACAAAAAAAAAAGAAAAAAAGAAAAAAAGAGGAAAATGCCAAAATCGTCCCCAAAATCAATGCTCTGCTCTCTCATACGAAGAGGTTCAGGAGCTTCATCTCTTGAACGCCGTTGCCCACGCCGTGATCGTAACCGTTCCCGGAGGGGTCGATCACCTCCGACGCGTCGGAGCTCACGAGGGTCGTCATCGCCGCCGCCGCCGCCGCGGCCGTGGCCGCCGTCATCCTGGCCGGCCAATTCTCCACGAATTGGCTCCTCTTGCCGCGTCTCTTCCCGGGCAATTTCGCCTTGAGGCTGAGGTTCGGGTCGTAGAGGGGGAGGTTGACGTCCACCTGGATCGACGCCGGCACCTGCAGGGACTGCCGCAGGCTCTGCCCCCTGCACGTGGTGCTGGGAAGGAACGGCGAGTCGGCCGACTGGTCGAGCCCGAAGGCCAGGACGGCGGCGCCGCCGCCGCCGAGGGGCTGGACGACGCCGCCGTCGAGCACCGTCTCCACCGCCGCCTCGCACACGTGCCAGTTGCCGCTCGAGAGCAGCCCCACCGCCCCGCTGACCGGGTTCACCGTCCGCCCGCACGCCTCGAACAGCAGGCTTTGAAACAGAGCTGGAAAAAAACCCACCAAAAAAAAAAAAAAAAGAGAGCCCCGTAAGCCCAAAAAAACTCATCCGGCTGACGCAATCACGCACCAAACTCGACATCACCGTACCGAGCAGACCCCACATTTCGCACAATGCGGGGACTCGATTTAAACATATTCCCGGAAGAATCGAGAAATTTTCTCGCGAGAGAGAGAGAAGGGGGGTTGGGGGGTTACCGGAGCGCTGAGAATCGGGGACGGCGGCGACGAGGGAGAGGAGGTCGCTGCGGCCGAAGAAGCGGGCGAGGAAGAGGGTGGCGTTGCCCTGGGCCTCGGGGGACGGGATCCACCGGAGGCACGACCTCAGCACGCAGCTCTCGCTGCAACCCTTTCGCAGGACCCGGCAACCGTTGCAGCTCATCTCCGACGACGTCCGATCACCGCCGAGCAACCAAAACCAAAGCAAACGTACGTCCCTCTCGCTTCCTTCCTTCCTTCCTTCCTTCCTTCCTTCCCGAATCGAAAATCCTCACGGCGCCGCGCAGAACCACCGAAGGCGAAAGGCCGGGGAGAGACAGAGCGCGCGCGTGTGACAGAGATGGGGAGAGAGAGAGGGAGAGCTCTTGGGAATGAAAGCTCGGCAATGGGGGAAGGGGAATAAGAAGGGGGGGGGGGGAGAGGGAGCCTGGAGGTGGGGCCAAGGGAGCGAACTAGGGTTGGGTTAAGTTGGGACTCGGGGTACCGATGTGGGGCCCCCGGTTTCGACGGTGGAGATTCTGCGTACGGCGGAGATTTTGCTCGAAGCGTGGTTGGTGGGGGGCCCCGCGTGTGGGGGGGGAGGAGCGAATATGGAGTGTTCGTGTGTGTGGGGTTAGACAGTGACCCTTTCCCAAAAACTCCAAGGTTTGAGCTCGAGCGGCTGCATGTTTCCGCGAGAGCTCTGGTCCCCACCCTTTTTTTTTAAATTCCCTTTTTTGCCCCCCCTCCTCTTTTTTTTTTGTAATAATTCGGCGGCCGCTATTGCTCCGCGCGACGGCCTCGGGGGAACGTGGACCGTCCGATGCGCGCCCGTCGCTTTCCGCCTCGTGTGGTGCTGTTGTACTTTCCTTCGCCCCCTTTCCCCACGGATGGGCCCCGCCCGGAACCCCGCCCCCCCAAAAAATTAAATTAATTAATTAATTTCGACGGGAAAATAGAAAAACAGAGGCAGAGTTGTGTGCTGGTGTATCCAAAAAAAAAAAAAGAGAAAAAGAAGAAGGAAATTCTTAAATCTGGCTAGGCTATGGGTTTAAAATAATCTTTAATCATACGAACATTCCTTGTGCTTTCATATCTTCATCTATGATCTCCTCGTATTTTCAATTTGGCCTAAATACCTCTTAGGTACGGTCATGTTTCCCATTTAAAGTTCCATTCCATTGGGCTTCCATGAGGGTCTCTTATCACAAAAATACGACATAACATTTGGAAAATGGCGTTTCCATAATCCCGCGTTTTGAGTTTATTTTCAGCTTAATTTCCATGCGACTGAAAAATGTCGCGTCCATTGCTCTTTGGTCTCGATCACGAACCCTCTTAAAATAGATTTTTGAAAGGGTTCGATGGAATTGTCAAAAGTACAACGGGCTATATTTATCAAATTGAAAGTACAAGGGATCATTGGATAAAACGCTAAAATACGGGGGGGAAGGAGTGTGGACTATGTTTCTCGTTTTTTTAAACTATTGACGGAAGGCGACATAAAAAAAAAGTACCCCCACAAAATCTACGGGTGTAATATATGGCATCAGATACTCCATTGGATGCTTTTCTATATGACGCAAGATAATAAAAACATCATACATGAAAGAATCTGTTGCAAGTACCTCAAACTAAATATATTAATTAACTGAACGAAGGCCCGTGCCATGCACTCGTTGGACATCCTCTTCTCTCGTTTTCTATTTTTTTTTTACACGTAAAATATCATTTATAATATATATCAATCGTACTTTCCTGAAACATTACTCATTTCTAACTTCAAATTCCTAGATAAAAATTATTCTCTCGTGTTTCAATTGCGATTTTCATCTCACAATTACAGTCAAATACACCAAATCTAGTACTATAAAGAAATATGCGTAGATGAAGGGAAAGAGAGGTGACACATTAAAGTCGCGAAGTCCTCTTTACGAAACTTCTCTTCAACGTACCCTGTCTATGCTCCCCCACCCAAGCATACAATATAGCAGCAGAGGGGGGGGGGGGGGGGGGGCCGACGCCACGTGGCACGCGGAGAGAGAGGCCAGATGGAGGCAACCTGTCCACGTGGCTGCACCGTAAAGAGGAGATTATGCCATCTTCCTCCACGTGTGTTTTCATATAGATCAGATTTTGTACGACTAGATTAACAAATAATCGGGGGCGCATTGGGGAAGAAATCCCCAAGAATCGAATTTATGCACCGGATGAACCGGGTCAAAAGAGCTTTCGATGCGGGGACGTGTATTCTTGGAAATGTGCACTAATTGCAATCCATTTGAATAAAGGCGGTTCCACTTTGGAAGAAGGGAAAAAAACATTAAAGGCGAGCCCCACTAGTAAAGGGAGTCCCACATGGGGTGCGTCACAAAAGGGTCGCTAGTGGGAGGGTGGAGGCCGAAATTACCCAATAGTAAAGGTGTCAAAATGGATCTTAAATCCATATATGACCCATTTAAAAATAAATGGGTCATATATGGGTCACTTAATTTTAAAGAATCAACCTTAAATGAGTTTTAAATTTTAAAACTTAAAGATAAATGGTTTGAGTTTGGAACCCATGTCCAACCCACCCACTAGACTCATCCACACACTCTCTTCCTCTTTATAAAGATGTTTAAAAAAAATCGAAATTTAATTATTTTTATTTTTTCTCTTTTTCTTTTTTCTTTTCTCTTCTTTCTTTTTCTTTTTTTTTTATTCCGGCCGGTGGTCGGCCACGGCGACCGGCCACCGAGGCGGGACGACCTCGCCGGCCTCCGGCGAGGCTCGAGCTCGCCGGTGAGGCTCGAGCCTCGCCGATCTGGCGAGCCTCGAGCTCGCCCGATTCTGGCGACCTCGAGGCTCGCCCGATCCCGGCGAGGCTCCAGCCTCGCTGACCTGTGGCGAGGCTCCAGCCTCGCCAGATCGGCGAGAACGAGCTTCGCCGGTCTCCGACGAGCTCGTCCTCGCCTGTGGTCGGTCGCCGGCCACGGCGGCCGGCGATCGGCCAAAAATAATGGAAAAAGAAAAAAAAAAGAAAAAAAAATAATTAAAAATTCGATTTAAAAAATAAAAAAATATTAATTTTTTTTTATTTTCTTGGTAATGACTTTATGAAAAATATTTTCTAGAAATGTCGCATTTTTCGTAAAACAAACAGAACCTCAATTTTAAAAAAAATTATAAAAATTTTTCACTAGCTTTGTATTGCATAAAATGTTTTAGCAGTATAATTTTTAAAAAAAAAATCATAAGAAACAAGTATTCCTAGATTATGTTAAATATAAAAGTGTTTTAGCAATATGGGTTGGGTCGGGTATGGGTTAGGTATGGATCGGGTCGGGTATGGGTCAAGATATTTACACTATGAATAAATGGGTTATAAACGGGTTAATGGGTCAATTTGGGTCGGACCATTTATGACCCGACCCAAACCCGACCCGACCCACCCGTTTAACAGGTCTACCCAATAGGTCGGCTTATCCGTCCAAGTCTAATCTAAGAATTTTACGGGAATTTATACCTTTAAGCTTGTGATCTTGCGGAGTAATTGTCGGCGTAATTATGAGTGTCTTCTGGTAAATTAGACTGATTATTTGATAATGATCAAGAGATTTTTCGCTATCGACGGATGATAGCAATTTCAGAGGCAAGGATTTTGGGAAGCAAGTGCGATACAGAGAAGGAATTTTGAACTGGACTGAGTTGGGCTTCTCGTATGGGCTTTGATTCTGAATGGATCGGGCACTTTCTCAGCATGTGGGCCATGCTCTCTTGAGCCCTGATCTTCATGCGTTTCTTCAAATGAGAGCCCAGGTGATAGGGAAGAAAAGTTGCATTTTGCGCCAGTTGGATTACTTGCTTCTCACTCTCAGTCCTCACGACGGTCTCTTCATTTCGTGGAAAGTTTTTTTTAACTGAAAACATTTTTCTATGTGATGTGATGTTTGGATCGCTTAGATAAATAAGTTGGCGGATAGTTTGTTGAAGTTAACGGAAAGCATATGCTTAAATTTAGGAAAATGACTACCTCTTCAAAAAAAAATTACCAGAATTCATTTTCTAAAATACAATTGGTTCTTGACGCTTCGTCCTGGGTTTAGGAGGCCAGGCGAGGGACCTCAGAGCCTAGGACCCTGAGGTCGGACTTGGGTCCCAGAGATCAAAGAGGCCGGGCCAGGGTCACTCAAGGCCAAGCCCAAGACCCTAGCGCTATGTAAGAGTCCCCAGTGGTCGGGCTCAGTTCCACAGCTCCCGCGCTCAGGCCTAGGTCCCTGTGCGGCCATCCCTGGTACCCCGATGGTTGTGCCTCGGTTCCTAGCGGCCGGGCGGGGCGTCGGCCCCGAGGCCCTGTTCCCCAATGCCCGAACCCCGGGATATAGGGTTGTACTAGAGAATTTTTCTCAAATGAGTGTATCATAATTTTCATGCAACAAATAATAGAGAAACGACTTCCATATTATTCACGAAATATAGCTAAACAAACGGAGCTGAAGTGTTTCTGAAAATATTTTCCAGCAAAGTTAACTTTTCATGAAATAAATGGAACCTAAATTTTTCGTGTCAGTTGAATTTTCATCAAAGGACACTCCCATTGGGAAAAAGTTACCATAGTTTCATGGCAACCACTCTCGTTGTTTTGAGTACATAACCTCAAAGACTAGCCGCTAAATCATGTTGCAACTGTTTCTTTTTTTGGCTAATTGACAACCGGAAGAGCTGGACATTCATAGGAAACAGAAGTTTATAAATATTGCAAAGGTATTTAATGCGACGGATACACCGTGAGGGAGTGAAGACGTGGTGTGATCCACCAATCACCTTTATCCGCGCGTTATGAATCTCATACTACGTGGTGCCACGTTGTGTACATTTCGCTTTTGAATGAGAACACAAACTCAACGCGGCGCAACTTTACTTTCAGAAATCCAAAAGCAGATCCGACCCGGCCTGTCAAATCGCGGACTGTCATGGTCATGGGTGGAACTATTTTCATCGGCGTTTCCTCAAAAGACCGACTGATTATAATCCCACCAAAGTAGCAGGTAATCACAAAATTAGCGACACGAGAAGGATCGTCGATCTTAATCAAGAGCGCCCAGAGTCGGTCTCAACGCGCAAGTTCGAGATCTTTTAGCAGCAGTTTACCATTGCTGTCTTGGATCCTTCCTTAAAAACGAAGAGTGTTTTGCAGTCCCATTTCGTGTACGTCGACTTGGGGAAAAAGCCAAAAGGGTCTTCCAATTCCACGCGTTTGTTATCAACAGCTACGTTCCGCGCTGGATGCTGATTAGCTGGGACATGTTTGACGACTTCTCGAGCAGTAAACAACGGGATCCCGTGAGAGACTGTGATGGCTGCTCCAGTTTGCTTGCGACGAAGGCGACCCGATACCGCACCGTGCACGTCCGCGAATTTGCTGCGCGCGCTCCCATATTCTTGCTTTCTCACGAAACCTCTGGTCCTCGCACTCGTTAAGCTAACTACATCTTTTCACACACGACAAGGCAAACCCTTTCATGGGGTCAAATCGAGGATGTTCTTTTCTTCTTCTTCTTCTTCTTTACGTGTAAAGTTGAGGGGTCTGTTAAACCTAAAAGCGATGGTGTTAAAACAAAGTAGGGTAATGGGACACTCGTGATATTCCGTGTGTTTAGACAGCAAATCGAAGCGAAAGTCCATGTTCTTTTCACACGGCTTTTGGCTCATTATTAGGTTGTTTCTTCGCATGTTACCCGCCGTGGATTCCTCCTTTTTTGCTTGGCGAGGTTGTTACCGGTTGCCACCCGAATCCAGCCCTTGAATGCATTGTCCTTTCCTGGTTTCATGGAAGATTTCCCACCGACAGGTGATAAATTACGAGGAAATGCACCGGCAATCGAAGTCAACGCTGGTCACCGGATCGAAGTTGACAAGCGACCCGACCCCGGGTTCAATGGTCCATCTTGCACAAATCGAGCGTGAGGGTTTGATCACTGGATGGCTTTATACTGTAGTAAACTCTATTACATCGTTGGCTTGTCTTGTATGTAAAATTAGCTAGGTTTGACGACCCATTTAACGAGGCCTCGAGTCAAATCTTGCGATAGATTCAACTAAATTAAATCCGCTCCGCTTTTATCGCCCTGATCACAGAGCCATATACTTAAACGAACTCTCGGTGGGTATACATGCACTCAATTCGTCACTGTCATCAAATTAAATAAATTTCACGCGCAACCAATAGGATCCAACGATAAAAGGATCCGGATGCGCATGCACCGGGATCACCCCATAAAAATTACAAGATCAGGTCCATTCATGTTCAGCTCGAATTGGGTAAATTGAGAAAAGTGTCAAAAAAATCCTAAATCTTTTGCATTTGTGCCAATTTAGTCCTAAATCTTTTGCATCGGTGCCAATTGAGTCCTAAACCTTTTGCATTTGTGTCAATTCAGTCCTAAACCTTTTTTTGGTGCCAATTCAGTCCTAAACCTTTTTTTGGTACCAATTCAGTCCTAAACTTTTTGCATTGATGCTAATTCAATCCTAAACCTTTTGCATTTGTGCCAATTCAGTCCTTCGACACGTGAATAGCTACTAGCCAGAAGGACCGAATTGGCACCAATACAAAAGATTTAGGGCTGAATTGACACAAATGCAAAAGGTTTAGGACTGAATTGACATCAATGCAAAAGGTTTAGGACTGAATTGACACCAAAAAAAGGTTTAGGACTCAATTGGCACCAATGCAAAATGTTTAGGACTTTTTTGACACTTTTCCCCGGGTAAATTTGCACGTCGTATTCTATGTGCGGAGGATTGTAGCGGGTGAATGCTTAATTAGCTAAAAACCCATCTCTCTATAAGCTAAAATGGGCTCGTTTTTCTTCTAGAATCGAAAACCCACCACCCCATCGTTAAGGAAATATCAGAAACTACTGCGAACTTCACCTCACCTAAGGTCGGTTCGTGCCGATCTGCATTCAAAGCCTTGAACGTGGACGAGTCTTTTCCCTATAACATGCCGTGGAATGAGCAAAGAAAGGAAGGAGGAAGGAGAGTCGCCTCTTACAAAAACAAGGAGCGCGACAGGCTTAAGTAAAGAAGGCCACCTGTCGTCCCAATCCATTCCCGCAACGCACGACTCTTCCTTATCCTCACCGAACATTCCCCAGCTAGCTCTTCTCCTCTATCACGAGCTACACATAATGCATGACGACATCCACGTCTTGAATACCAAGAGCGACCATTTTTAAATTTATGGAAATGTCAGCATACAACAACGCAGACATCCCAACCTCCACCTCGAGAGCTCACTATTTTGTGATGCATTTTTTTTTTCTTAATTTCGTGTTGTGCTACTTGGCTTTTAAATTCGAGTAAGAATTGCCCCCGAAAAACATTAGTCAACAAAACCCTTCTATCTCGTATCAAGAAGCGAACTACTTCTGGATAACTACGGAATATGTTCTGTACCAAGAAGGAAGTGGAGAAGTTGAGAAGCTCTTCCGTTCGAAGAACCCTTGATTTACTTGCACAATTTAAACCGCCAGAGTTGGTACGTCGGTTTCGCCCTTCTAAAGTAAGGAAAAAGATCACCTTTTTATATAGTAATTAAACCATAAAATAGCCCCCAAAAAAGAAAAAAAAAAAGTAAATAGGAGCCTAGGAGGAGAGCACACTCAATAGCTCAGCTAAACTCAACGACCGCTTCGCCGCCAAACCTAACTCGGTGGCCCAACCGCAGGATTTTGACCGCCATTCCATTTAGCTGCGTAGATAACCTCTGAATCCTCCCTTTCCACCGATCATTCAGAACTCCATGAAATTTTGCAATTATTTGACAATTGAAACACAATCAGATTGGACAATCCACGAGATCAAACTTCGAATGAAAAAGAATGATGAATATTGAAGAATTCATAAGGTGTTACAACTCCAAAAGAATGAAAAAACAAGGCAGACTGAGATCCAACGAGGATCGAGCAGTCTATGTACAACCTAAAAATTCCAGATTAAAAGATCCACTAAGCCCCCAGCTAAGTAACTAGAACTGCTAATTCTAAAAGCACGACCAAGATTCAGTGTTCCGGAGAAAGCTTTATCTTCAGGGGCATCAAGAAACGCGGCTTCTTGGACGGGTGGGGGCTCTCCACCTCGTCCTCGCCCGACACGAGGAACCCGGTCGGGAACTCCGGCAGCGCGGGCACGTTCAGGTCGAAGTTGCGGTGGCTGCTGTACCCGAGCGTGTGCGCCGACCCCACGCCCTCGGACGTGGTGGTGATCCCGCTGCTGGCGGAGGCGCTGGCGCCGCCGCCCTCGTAGTGGCAGCGCTTGTGCCCGCCCAGGGCCTGGCCGGTGGGGAAGGACTTGTGGCATATGGAGCACTCGTGCGACCTCCCGACCCCGCTCGAGTTAGCGGCGGAGTTCGTGGTGGAGGTGGAGGGCTCGTCGCCCCCGGCAACCGCGGCGGCGGCGGCGGCGGCGGCGGCAGACTTGCGGTGGCTGGCCTTGTGGCCGCCGAGGGCCTGGTAGGAGGGGAAGGCCTTGCCGCAGACGGCGCACTTGTAGCTCAAGTTATTCGCCGGGGCCGCGGTCGCCGTCACGGGGGCTGCGGTCGCCGTCGCGGTCGCTGCCGCCGCTTCTTCCGGCTTTGTCGGCGGCGGAGGAGGAGCGGGTGAAGCGTGGCCCTTGGGCTTGTTGGAGGCGGCGGCGCCGCCGCGGGCGAGCATGATGAGGCAGAGGGCGAGGTACTCCTCCTCGGTGGGGGGGTGGTGGGGGCGCTTGGAGCGCTTGCGCTTGATCAAGGGCTCCATGAAGCGGGAGCTCATGGGCTCCTCCATGAACTTGAACGTGGGCGCTGCTGCGGTGGGGGAGTTGATAGCTTCCAAGGCCATGGACGCCGGTGGTTGTGAAGCAATCTTGGTCACCCTGCGTGTGTGAATTCTGAGAGCTCAGGCGGAACTTTTAGAGAGAGAGAGAGAGAGAGAGAGAGAGGGAGAGAGAAGGAAGGGTGTTGAGTTGAATTGGTGTGGAGAGAGAGTGAGAGTGGGAGGGCCTTTTATAAAGGCGAAGGGGGAGTGGTGGTGAGGGGGGAGGAGGAAGTTGCGGGACAAGTGGTTGGAAACCAAGTGAAGTGGTCTCTCCCTTCACTCAAGCCCCGTTCCTTTTGTCGTTTCACACGAAAATATACATTAAAGAAATTGATGAAATGGGGAGGGGGAAGTGGAGCACGTTGTCGACCGAGGTTTAGAATAAGGTGGGGGCGGGGGGGGAGTTCTTGCTTGGTGGCCAAGAACGACTGAAGTCGGTCAAACAGTGTCGTCCTCTCTTTGAGCTCTCTCTCTCTCTCTAGAGAGGCGGCCATTGGCTGCTGTGGAAGGAGGAGAGAAGAAGCGTAGGGTTTTTCCTCCCTTTCAGTGAAGAGACCAGAGACTGCTTCAAAGTCAACGCCACCGAAAAGTCGGATAGTATTCCACAGCAAACGCGCTTCTTGCTTCTTACGATTACTAGGCGTAAGCATTATCATATTCGTATCCCCACCAGCAGCAGCAGCAGCAGCAGCCAGCCCTTTGGAAGAGTCGTCGGGGGGGGACAAAGTCTCGGTCCATTTGAAAGTGAAATCTCGATCGTTTCGCTCGCGTATGTACGTGCGTATGTTTGCCCATTTCTCTCTGAACCGGTCCTACTTTCTAGTAGAAAGTTTCTACTCCCCTCCTCCAAGCCACACTTATCATCAAGCGATCCTTTCAGAATTTTACACCAGAAAGAACGCCTGACGAGTTCCTTACCACACTCGGCCAACGATGCCCGTATCCCGCCGCTCACGTAGGGTAAATTGATCGGACGAAGAGCGAGCGGCGTGTCGTAAACTTTGAACGAAAGACGGCATTGTACGGTTCAATTTTCTCGGGGGCATACATTTCGCGACCGTAGTAGTTGTCAGCCGTTTTTTACGAGATCGCCAACCCCCAATCCCAAGACGACGAGACTTCGATGCATGTAACATTAGACGCCACGAGTGTTGTAACACAAATGACTTAAACGACGGCACGATACAACCGCAATGCAGTCCCGATCTGGATATTTTGGTTCCGGGAGCGATTCTCCAAATTTAGAATATCTCGATCGAGGAACCCCATAAAAAATTTCCAATCGAACTTGTAATTAGGTCTTGGGAGATCATGTGCGCACAAGTTAAACGCGCGGAGTGCACTAGGAGTGCAGGGGGGAGCATCTATAGCGAAAATCACACATGCATCCCATTTGCAATCAACTAGACTTTGCATTCGGTGTCAAACGAGGAGAATTACCAAAAAAAAGTCATACGCCTATTGTAATTGTGTCAATTCAGTCATCAAACTTTTTCTTTTTGTATTTATAGCAATTCAGTCCCTCAGGAAATTACTACTATGGACGCCAGCCGTCCTACAAAGCGCGATCGGCATTGAACCCCTTGCCTAAAGTCGACCCGAGTATCCAAAACCCGGTCGTGCTCATAGCCTCGCTGTCAAACAGTATCATTCGTCAGCGAGAGCATACGTTTCGCAGTGCCAAAAAAATTACGGAAAAAAGGACGAGAACGCGCGGCGTTTTAATTGATGTGGACCATTCATCAATGTCCACGACGTAGCATATGTTCTCTAGTCTTTCTAGAAGGCGCAAGAAAGCTGGAGTCGTAACGAGAGAAACCTCCAGAGCCGTCTCGTGCTGCTCTGTTCCGCGCGTTTTTCTCGCCTCAATTGGATGCGGGGTGTGTTCCGGTGGCGTACGAGGCAGCACGGGGGGCGTAGATTTGTAGAATACACGCGAAGGAGATCACACGTCCGGCTCGCACGTGTCGGCCGTCCAAAGTGGACCCCCGACGGGTGGGTGGGTGGGTGGGTGGAGGGGCGGCGGCGGCCGTCGTGGAGGAGGAGGCGGCGGTGGTGGTGGGAGATGCCCCTGCTCTGCTCCCCGCCGCCCCCTACGGAGGACACGTCACCGCTCCCTTCGTTTTCACGTAGCTTTTCCTCAAAGCAACCAGGACCACCCATCTCCTCCTTCGGTCCCTCGGTATTTTGATGATCTGTGCATCCCCCTAGGTACGTGCGTGTGAAGTCGAGCCAGATGAAATGGCACGAAGAAAATTCGGACCTACCCCCGATCAGCAAAGCTTTCACACGTGTCGACGGACGCCGGTGGGCGGCGAAACTTTCGATGGATTTTTCGTTTGCGAGAGGATCACGAGGAGTTGACTGATCTTTTGTGGGTCTACGTAAGTACGAAGTGATCGGGCCCTCGGAGACGTGGAAAACGAGCGTGTAAATCCCTTCGTGGATCGATGTTTGACCCTCTAAATCCACAGTTGTGGGATAACTGAGCCACATGGTTCATGAGGGGGTTAAGAGAAAGACTATTATAGGTAAGTTCAAGATATGTGTTTGCTTGCCCGACACGGAGACCCCTTCGTTTTTGGCCATTAACCTCCGTCTTTTAAGGCGTTATGGCCTTAAAAAAAAGAGCTTTTTGATTCGAAGAATCCGCTCGAAATAGTGAGCGAAGAGCACGCTTGTCGAACAGACTCGTCATATCGGATCAAAACACATAGCGGAATCTCCCGAACTAGGCCTTCTATTCAAGCATGGCCTCCTCTTATCATAACCGGGGTCAAGGATGATGGGAATTTTTAATACGACGAAGCTTACGGCTTTTTTTAAGTAGTCACATGGACTCTGAAAGATTCTCTCATTTATTGATGGGTTCGTGATCTCGATCGAGATCGAGGATCTTCATCAGGGCTAAAAATCTGATTGCCACGTAGATTCAAGATAAGATTCTCTGAAGTCTCACGATCTTAAGAAAAATTCGCCGATGCCGACTAATTCCATACGTACTCATCTAACACCCGGCGGACGACATCTACGATGGCCACGAAATGCGGAGGATTCTTCGAAGCACGAGCATGGCGGACGGTACTGCATCGAGGGTGAATTTTCCTATGCCGAAAAGCCCACTGACTTCGAGTGCGAACCCGCGGTCTCTCGTGTGTCGAGAACTTTCCTGATGCATCGACGCGAAGGAAAAGGTACATGAGAAATTGTCGTCCGCGGATTGGGCACGTTTGGCGCGTGAAGTCGTTGCTTACCATCGCTGCTGCTCGTGCTTATCGCCACGTGGCCGAGAACCTGGTTCCCATCCACGCTTCGACGATGACAAAACCCACGGTTTTTCCTCTTTCGCTTTCCACCCTCTCTCTCTTTTATATTTTCAAATTGCGCAAGATGGGGGTAGATTTCAGGGAGAAAGCAATTGGCCCTTCGCACCACCTGCATCTTGTGACCATGTCAATCAATCATTTAAGAAATCGGGTCAAACTCGAAGCCCAAATCCAAGTTGGTATCCCGAATTCAGGTGTGGTGGGTACTATATAATGCACCAAAGTTTCATCCAATAGTAATCGATTGATGAGGGATCATGACTTTTGCGCTTAAAATGGCGTTCGTGAGTTGGGGGGGAAGAAACGTGTGAATCATTGATCTTTCTTTTGATTGAAGATTGCGAGAGTCCACTTGACACCAAAGTCTGAGTTGATATCCCAAATTCGTAGATGGGGTGTTACTATAATGCACCGAAGTTTCATCCAGTAGTAATTGATTGATGAAGAGTTATGACTTTTGCACATAAAACAGTGTTCGTGAGTTGGGGAAAAGAAACACTTGAATCATTCATCTTTCTTTAGATTGCAGATTGCGAGAGTCCACTTGACACCAAGATCCAAGTTGGTATCCCAAATTCGTATATGGGGTGTGCTATAATGCACCAAAGACTTATCCAATCATAGTTGATTGACGAAGAATACGACTTGAGCTGGGGGGGAAAGAAACGTGTGAAACCTAAATCTTTCTTTAGGTTTGCAGATTGAGAGTACACTTGACACCTGGCTATAGACGTAGCATTGTCTTAATTAGTCGTGCGTGATGGATATGGACGCCTCTCGAGCAACAGCGGCAACACGCCAAGTGGTGTGGACTGGATAGTTTGTAGGATTCCATTTTTTGAAAGTTACTGCAAGAAAATGAGGTCAAAAAAGTCATAAATTTTTTGCATTGATACTAATTTAATCATAAACCTTTTTTTGATGTCAATTCAGTCGTAAATCTTTTGCATTGGTGCCAATTTAGTCCTAAATCTTTTTTTGGTGCCAATTCGGTCCTAAACCTTTTGTATTTATGCCAATTCAGTCCTAAACCTTTTTGTCTTTGTGCTAATTCAGTTTTTTCGATCAATTTTGATCGGATTTTGCTGACGTGGACAACTTTTAATAATATTTTAATATTTTTTTAAATTTTTATTTATTCTTTTCTTTTCTTTTTTCCCTCCCTCCTTCCTCCAGCTGGTCGCCAGACCGGCGACCGGCCAGAGGCCAGAGGCCGGCAAAGGCGAGCCTCACCATGGCTAGGCGAGGCACGACCTCGCCTAGCTGCCGGTGAGGCTCGAGCCCTCGCCGGAGGCCACGACGAAGGCCTCTGGCGAGGTCCAACCTCGCTTAGCCATGGCGAGGCTCGCCTTCGCTATCGCTAGCGAGGGCGAGCCTCGCTGGCCTCTGGCTAGTCGCCGATCCAGCAACAGGCTAGAGGAAGGAGAGAGGGGAGGGAAAAAAATCAAATAAATAAATAAATAATAAAAAATATTAAAATATTATTAAAAAGTTATCCACGTCGACGCTCGAAGGAAAAATCAAATAAATAAATAAATAATAAAATATATAAAATATAAAAATTATTGCCGGTGGCCGGTCGGCCGGCGTCCACGTCAACAAAATCTGGCCAAAATTAGCCGAAATGACTGAATTGGCACAAAGAAAAAAAGGTTTAGGACTGAATTGGCACCGATACAAAAAGTTTAGGATTGAATTGGCACCAAAAAAAGGTTTAGGACTAAATTGACACAAATGCAAAATGTTTACGACTGAATTGACACCAAAAAAAGGTTTAGGACTAAATTAGCACAAATGCAAAAAGTTTAAAACTGGATAATTTATAGGATTCCATTTTTTGAGGCCTCGAAATACT